ATTGTTAAATATATGTTTAGTAAATATTTAGTCAATAATGCAGGTGTTACATTAGTTCACTTCTTCTCTGTGAGTGTTGTGTACTCTAATGGTAACACACATTGATACATTTTAAGAAAATGGTGAATGTTTTTACCTGGTTTAGGACAACAAAAAAGAGTCTGCTTTTTCAACTCCATCAGTTTCTCTGCTGACACATTTGGCATTTGGCATTTCAGTGCTGATAATTTACTTTTGTTTCAAATAGGGGTGGGCGATATATCGATATTTTAAATATATCGAGATAGTTTTTAAACTCGATATGAATTCTGACATATCGTATATATCGATATAATGCTTATATTCAATTTTGATTTCGCCGCTTCGCTTGTTTACCTTCTCTCTCGTCGCCTCCGCGCGCCCCCGCCTCCCTGATTTTGTTCGCTCGTGTCTCCTTCACTCCTCGCTTCCGCCGTGAACACCGAAAGTTGGTGCCAGTGAAAAGCTTCAAGCACCACGAACCTTTTCCACCATTTACAGACAAAACCATCAGCAGCACATCCTCATATTCCACCGAGTCGCGTCCTTTAGCCCAAAAGAAGCTAAACGAGCTGAGCTGCATGAGAAGTGCTGTTTATGCAAATGAGCCATGCGCTTAAGTTTCGTTTCTGTAAAACGTAAACACACATGTGCAGATCTGCATTAAACACATTATTATCGCAAACGAGCTGATGTGGCTCTATAGTCGTTATGTTTTATATATTGTAAAGTTTAGCAATGTAAAGTTTATTTATGCAGAAGATTTTAATTAATAATCTGTTGCAGTGTCACTTGTACAATAGTGTTTGGAAACGTTGGGTTTGATCTGCAGTGGATTGTGGGAAACCTCAGAGCTCCTTCTGCTGGTGAGGAACATGGATCTGTTAAAATAAGGAACATCCTGAACTTCCTCTGCTAAAGGAGCTCGTGGTTCTGGTTCTGGTCTGGATAACAGAGTTAATGCAAAGATGAGCTTGTGTTCGGTTGTTTTATTTATGAATGAAAAGAAGAAAATATGTTTTATTTATTTTATTTTACAGTTAAATTATTATTTATATAATTAGGTTTTTTTGTAATCTTAAATGTTCCTATATGAACTGCCAACCTCTCACACTTCAATTAAAAAAAAAAAGGACCTTGTTGTATTTGGCAGATTTGTTTTTGCAGTTTTCAGTTTTAGGGGGTTATTTTTTCTTGAACATATATCGAGATATATATCGTATATCGAGATATAGCAAAATATATCGAGATATATTTTTTGATCCATATCGCCCAGCCCTAGTTTCAAATGAATCTAGTTTTGTTACAAAAGATATACAAATTCTGATAAATACATAAATACATAAAACATCTTTACTCTCTCTATATATAATAGATATTTTATTCACACGTGACAGTTAATGAATACATTGATTCTTCTTCCATTTCCTCCTCTTCAGCATGTGTATTCACTGAATTTAAATATGCAAATTGACCCTTTGTAAATAAATAGAGTGAGTGCTTTTCCCTTAAGTGTGAGCTGTCTTTCAAACAAATGTCTGCTGTCCATAGTTACAGTGAAAGGCCTTAGCCACCTGTGACCTCCAACAGAAATAAGTTGAAAAAAATGAATAAATGAATGAAAAAGTATTTGCAAGGATAAATAATTTACTAAAGAGATTATTCATAGAGCTACATCTGCACTCATGGCCATTCTTTGAAACCGCAGCACTGAAAGCACTGTCTTAAAAGCCGTGTTTGTGGGTTTGCTGGACAGCTGCCTGCAAAAGTTCTGGTGCTCTTTTGAAAAAACAGAATGGAAAATGACCAGGACACTCTTCTATAAATAATTGAAATCCTTTTATTTTGACAGTCTGGTCGTGTTGTACCTCCGATATCACCTCCTCCAACACAGTGTGGCATGTCTTTTTGTCACTGTCTAAATGTGTCTATGGATAATCTATTAACAGTTGATAGTAAGGGTTAAAGGGCCCATACAGTATTAGGCTGTTTTCTGATCTGTTATAATGTTGTTTCCTCATCAAAAACATACCTGGAGTTGTGGGGTTTTTTTTCACTCATGTTTAACACACAACCCTGCATATTTAGTTCTTCTTTAGTTCTTCACACTCAGTTCCATTTTATGATGTCATGTGGTAATACAGGGAGTGCTTCACTGTGTTCTTAATCTCGACTCACCTTCACTAGAATCGTGTAGATATTTTCGGCCTTAGAATTTCCAGTGTCTTCTGAACTTTAGGTAAAAGGTAGCTGTTAACTTGAAAACAACCACTTACATGAGATCACAAGATGGAGCTGTGCCTTTTGAGCTTTGGGGATGTAGACATCCCATTAATGCAGGATTACGCAAACTTGCGTGAATGAAACAAAACACAACTCCTGGTAACAACATCTATAATAATAATCATGATTTGAGATCACAAGAGTCTGTTTTGTCTAATGTAGGATCTTTAATAACTAATGGGGCTTTGCAATGAATTGGATAAGATAAATCGAGATAAAGTGATTTCAAAATTTCAGTGACCAGTTTCAGGCTTTTAAATGGAGAGATAAAAAACAATCCTTTGTCAGTAAAAGCACGTGGTTTGGGGCAGAGTTCAGACTTTTTCCTTTTTATTGTTTTAAGGGGCAATTATTAATTATTAAGTCTTGTTTCTTTATCTTCAGCAAATATATGGAAAAGAGAGAATACATTTTTGTCATATCTAACAGCCTTTTAATTTGTATTATGAAGGATACTTTTTTCAATTATAATGCTCAACATTTTTTATACTGTCAGAGTTTGCAATTTTGCTCAAATACCTTGAACAACAAAAAACTGCTTTTGTGACTCAAACTAGTAGCCCATCTTCAGTTTAATTGGTGCAAGCTTCACTTAGAAACTTTTTAAAGGATTTGCGAAAAATAAAAGAAGCCCTCCGACTGCGTGCCTCATTACAGTGTTATAGTCAATTTGGGGAGCTACGTGGACTTGATTCTGCCCATACACCACGGATACACAAGCGCAGTAGGGAACACATAGCCAAACCACTCAACGTTGATTTTGTTTGTTGGCAATAGCGGGCATCGTATATAATAACTCTTGAGTTATCATTTGAAGTTGCTTGTTTTGTTGCTTTGTTTATCCCTCAGCACTTCAGCCAAAGAGATATCAGATCTAAGTGTAATTCTTGTGGTAAACTATAAGTGTTACCTGAGAGAGAGAGCTGTTGAATCTAGAAGGATAAGACTGCAACACTGGCTGAGATTTTATGAAACTGAGGAGAGGACAAGTGACTGGAAGTAAGACAAGACCGCACCAGTGCATTATGGATGAGAGAAGGGACTTAGGAGGGGTTGTAAAATTTAATATGACATGTTCAGTTCGGCTGCTGCTAGGTAAAGCGCGAGAAGTGAGAAGCAAGAAGAAGAAGAAGGGAAGAAGTGACATTTTGTAGTTTTTTGTTGTTTTGGTCTTGCTAAATCAATTCAGGTACTTATAATATGCAATATAATTCAATACAATGTGGTTATTTTGAGGGCTTTCTCTTATGAAAGAACAAAAGGCTCCCGAATGCAATTTCAGCAGACTAGACTCCAGGTGGTAATTGTAGGAAACATAAAAAAGAACATATCACCTCATATCAATCATAAAATGTGTTTTACCTGTTGAATTGCACTCAGTATTGTTGTTTGGTAGTGCTGGTGCTGTTTTAATTACATGCAGTTCAATATTTTCATTCACTTAATTGCTGTAATGAATATTTTTTTGATGGAAATGGATGCTGACAGAAATTATCTGGAAATAAAAAGATTAGAGCTAAAATGAGGTTGACGTCCACGTAACTTTTCTGGTGGAGGGTCCATCAAATGCTGTTCTATGTGGAGATGTTATTGCTTTGTCTGGAATGATTCACACGCCTTTCTATCTTCATGGAGACCAAACCAGACCAAGTTACAGCTCATATCTTTGGAGAGGTGATCCCATTCACAGTCAGAATGTTGGTATTTCTCTGTATTTTTTGAAATATAAAACCACTTGCAATTGAGTAAATGTGAAGTAGAGCTGTTTGATCATGCTGTGGAGCATTCCAGGCAGAGCAATGACACATCCATAGAAACAAGCAGGTGACGAACCCCCAACCAAAAAGTTACATAGTGCACTTTTAAACTTAACTTCAGTGTAGCTTTACTCATTGACTTTGGTGAATCTTCTGGCTATTTTTGTACTTGTACATTTGTAAGCATAAATGGAACTACAGCACAATTTTTTTACACACACTAACTGGGCATTTAAAGAGTGGACAGAGAGCAAGGCATAATTTTTATTCGTTAATTTACTCTGGGCTTGTTTATTTCTGTTACTCCAATTCCTATGAGACTGTTTGAAGAGAGCACTCATTGGTGCACGACTAAATTGTGATTATAGATGTCATGAATTCTTTTAATCATGCAGGGCTCAACAATTTAGTAAAATTATTGCAATTCAATTTGTTTTTTATGTTATAATTAAGCTTTAGTTGACTGTGCACATTAATGATAGCATAAAGAATTAAACATTCAAGAGAGAACTGAAATAAAAGCTGCTAAACCTATATAAGAATCACATGCGTTTATGGGAGTTTATACTACTGGGCTATCAAGGCAGTGGACATTATATAACTGAAATAACTGCAGCCCTTGCATTTTTCTAATAGCAGCGATTCAAACAGCAATTCTCATTTGATTGCAACTAACTTCTGCACTAGTCACATATTATAGAACAAGCTGGTAAATTATTACACTCATTTTCATAAAATTCTATAGTTCCTCTTACAATAATTACAGTAACAGTAAAATGTCACATTATGACATCGCTATTGGACACCAAATTTCAGTTTTTCCACCTGTAAACCTTGCATCAAATCTTTTACAAGCCCTTCCCTGCTGCAGCCTCACCTCAGACATTTGAAAGAGACAGACAGAGCGCGATGCCAGCACTGATGGTGTCTCTGCCCTCACAGATGGTCGCTGAACGGGACCCTCATAAATCTGGGCTTGGAGCGGCGGCGGCGGCTGTCCGAGGGTAACCTCATCATCAGCAGTCTGGACCGGGTGCAGGACGTGGGGCAGTACCAGTGCATGGCCTTCAACAGTGTTGGAGCCATTCTAAGCCGCAGAGCCAGCCTGCAATTCGCATGTAAGTTACACTGGTGTATATGGACTACCTCATATGAACAGGAAATTGATAGTTTTCAGATCATAGAATGTGATGCTGACATAAAGGGCTGCGATGATCTATCAGCTAATATTGACTAGTTGATTATAAGAAATAATCATAATCATACATAACCATATCTTAATCTGGACTACACACATACAAAAAGATATTTTACAACAAAGACAGTAGCATTATTAAATCAAAATGTAAAAAAATGAAAATCTATTTCTGATTTGCATAAATAATACACTTTAATTGTAAATGTTCTATATTTAGAAGCTTTCAGTTACCATATTACAGCCTTTATTTAGTGTATAATGTATTTAAAAAGTCCCCTGTACAGTAGAAATATTTTTTTAGTCAACTAGTTGACTAATCAAAAAAATTAATTGCAGACTAATAGTCACTGGTGCGGGAGTCAGTATTTCTGTTGCTATGTCTAGTCTAATATGAGATACCCAGAACAACAATAATTTATCTGATTATGTGCAATATATTAATAAAAAGGGGACTTATGTTGGGTATTGGAGTATGCTAAAGCCATAAGTATTGGATGTAAGTTATCCAGGCTTCTTTGAACTGCATGATATGAGATAGACATGAAATTGGTTGTTTTCGGATTACAGAATGTGCTGATGGTATAGTCGTGCATGGAGTGCACGACTGGTGCATGGAGAGAGGGGAGCCAGTATTCCTGTAGCTATGTGCAATTCTCTTATGAAATACCCAAAATGAAATTGTATCTGATCATGAGCTGTATGTTATTAAGATGGTCCTGCGTCCTGTTATATTGGGCTATCCACACGCACTAAATCAGCATACTGATATGAATAGAAATTTTATTACCCCCTTATCTCATTTAACAGACTACACACCAGTAAAGCAGGAACTGATAATGACTTTGATAGAACATTTTTTCACTGTGTAACTTTAATTAAAAAAAACACCCAAAACAAAAAACAAATACCACTGTTTTTACTCGTCAAACTGTGTCAAAATAAAGCCTAAACCAGCACCAACAGAAGACTGCACTTGGATCAATTTAGAAGATCAGCCAGAATTTTTCAATATTTCAAATCAGATCACAATACAATTTCAAGACAAGAAAATAAGTTTATAAGTTTTCTGGCTTTTTGGCTGATCAGGATATTGCTTTAGCTCATATTGTGATAACATAATTTACATAGTGCATCCCTTCTGGCACACACAGTCACATAAGCTCAGTGAAAAAGGACTGCAGAACAATGTCGACATGCAACCAGAGCGCATGAGTTACTTGTGCAATATTTATCAGAGTGACTTAGAGTTGGTGTTAAGCTACATTAAATGTTAGAGTAATGTGGGAGCCTTGTGAATGTTGTGGTTGTTATTCCTTTTGGACAGAGTTTCACACCAAGTTTTAGAAAGACTTTTTTTTTTTTTTTTCAGTTTTGTTATTTGTCACATTTTACTCTGTACATAGTACAGACATGTACTATGTACTATGTAACATGTATATGTACATGTTCCGATAGATAGATAGTTAGCTTGCAAGTTAATAGATAAAGCAGATTACGGTTGAAGAAAAAACTTTTCTGGTGGAGAGTTCACCACCTGCTTGTCACCATGGAGATGTTCTTGCTTTGTCTGGAATCTTCCGATAAAGCATTAAATGGACTCATCTTGCATTAACTCCATAATATGGACTTTTAACCTAAAAACTTAATGTGAGTGGCCTTGTGGTGTCACTTGCTGTGTACAGTACAGAGATAAATATGTGTAATGCCATACCATGGAACATTCAGGGCAGAAGCAGGTGATTGTGACAGACCAGACAAGTTACAGAAAAACATTTTCAGATCCCTGTTAGATTTTGGAATATTGGCTCCTGGATGGGGTATCAGCTCAGCGTTATGGTTGAGCCCAAAAATTGATGTAATAACACTTTTTATTGGCCATTGTTTTCAGCTCTATAGTTTCTTGAAGGATAAAGGGCAGTTACAGAACATATTTTAGTATGATTTGTTTATATAACTGTACACTAAATATACTTGGAAATGCTAGATCAATGCATCTCTAGTTATGAAACCTGCAGTTGTCAATGTCTGTTAAGACTGATCGAAGAAGGTGATGCATGAGGAAGGCCTTTTGTTAGTATTTCCCAATCCAATAGACAAACTACAGTAAACCGAAATAGCTCAAAGAAATTGTTGATTTTTTAGTGGGAAAGAGTGTCAGGATACACAATATGGCGCACTTTCCATTAGAAAAACAAATTACTAACCCTAACTCTTTCCAAGTATAACAGGCTTTCCAAAACACCTGTAAACTCAGGACCAGAACAATTTGGATCATGTGAATTCAGAGTCCAGCTTCATGTATGCAGTGTATTACACAAGAGGAGTTCTCCTGATTTTTAGTTCAGTAATGACACAGAAATAGTAATTTTACTGACTTTCTTGTAGTTTATTATTTTGATCCTTTCAGTTAATGATCATAAGCAGAACAGTTATAGAAATGTATGAAAAACACAAGCCTTTATACAAAATAGTTTATTAGGAAGTAAAGACGTATAGCACACTACAAAGACATAAGGTTTCAGGTTTCTTTATTAGTGCTAAAGGTTAAATTTGTTTGCAGAATGGGTCATAGCAGACAGCACATGATTTGCAGATAAACATAGTGACAACTTACTGGGTATGTCTGCTTACCTCTTAAACTCATGGTAATAGCACAGTTACTACAACAGGACCACTGGCCAACATGTAATACTTGACTGTAATTATCTGAAGGATGGTTACAATAATTACTCTGGTTTTAACCATTATGGATATTAGTTCATTTTGACCCATCTCTGTATATTGCAGGACCAACAGTTACAGTTTCAGAAGCCCAAGGATCAGTAATTATTTAAATAATCATTTTTGATTTTATTTGAAAGCCTGATATGTAGGAGGCAGCATATGTAGCCCAAACAAGCTCTGCGCAACCTGCATGGTGCAACATACCCTGTCAGACATTAATATTGTATGAGCTTCTGTCGAGATTCCTATAGTAAAGGTGGCTGTTAACTATATTGTGGTTGCCAAATTGTGCATTTCATGTCATAACATCTGTAGCCAACATAATATAAGTTGTGTGAAACTGCACTGCATTAAGTTATAGTTGTATGCTGTTAGACAGATTGCTATAGACTTGGTAAATGGTTTTGGATGGATGTCAGGAGAAGTGGACCCTCTCTCATAAATTTTTAACATACAGTACAGCCCATGCATTTCTGTTCACTGCAATATTTACTCATACAATGCACTACCTGTACTTGTATAAAAAATGTATTCATTTTTAAAGGTATACTATGTAACTTTTCTGCTAGAGGGTCCCTGACCTGCTTGTCTATTTTAGATGTTATTTGCCTGGAATGTCCCACACTATGGCATTAAACATGTCTATCTTACATTTTTCAGTTCATACATTATTCAGTTCAGACATGTTCAATTCACACACACAGAAGTGTTTAAAACACCTTGAAAAAACATGCAATGACATCCATGGCATCCTCAGATCTAATCTGTAACTTGGTCTGGTGACTGCACTTGCTTCCTTAGCCAAGAAGATAAGTTTAATACTATACCGTGGAACATTCCAGGCAACACAATTGCATCTTCATGGAGACACTTCCACAGGAAAGTTACATAATGTATATTTAAATACCTTATCCCAAAGTTACATTACAAATGGTCCAGTTTATAGTACTGGACCAGATTTATTGCTTGAATGTATTTTGTATTCTATATATTGTGCTTTCAGACAGCTATAGTATGAACAGTCTGTTTGTGAATATCCACCCATTTCAAGACATCAGATTGTATCACAAATGCACACAGCCACATCTTGACATTTATGCATTATTTATGCAGTACAGAGATGGTATTTACTGTTTATACAATACTAAGAGATATATGCTAACTTCTCTTGTGGCGTTCTGAACCTGCGCGATGACATTTGTGTTGGCTTTATAAATTGAATGCTGAGAGGCGTTCCGTGTGTGTCTCTCTGGGGCTTTGCCAGTGCAGCACTATTAGCTTATGGGCCTTTGTCAGTGTCTGTACTGAAAGCTTTTACTCAGATGTACCCCACTCGGAGACCCAGGGAGCCCCCACTGATCTGTCCTCTCTGCCTCCTCCCTCCTCTCCATCTCTCTTTCCCTCTCTACTCCCCTCCTCTTTTCCTCACTTACGCTGTCTTTCTCTCTCCCTCTTTTTTTTTTGTCTCTCTTTATTTCCCCCTCTTCTCAATTTCTCTACCCCCTCTCTCTCTCTATGTGTCTATCTACCCCCATTTCATCACATTGTCCCTCTGCTACTTCCTCTTTTTATCTATCCACCAATCTTTTTTCTTCACCTGACCGCTTTCTCCCACTGTCTCCCTCTCGTCTCTGTTCCTCTGTCTCATTTCTCTTTCTTATTCTGTCCCACTAATCTTTTTCCTCTGGACCATTTTCTCCTTCTACCCTTCTCTCTCTATCTCTCTTTCCTTCTCTCTCTCCTGCCTTACCTCTCTCTCTCTTCCTCCCCCTCACTGTCTCTCTCACTCTATCCCCCTCCCTCCTGTATCTCTCCACAACGCCCCTCTCCTTTCCCTACGTCTCCCTCCTCTCTCTCCCCCCTCCTCTTCTCTCCCTCCCTCTCTCTGCAGATTTAGATCATTTTAAAGTGCACACCAGGAGCGCCGTGTCCGTTCGAGAGGGACAAGGAGTGGTACTGCTGTGTGGAACCCCCACTTCCTCAGGAGGTAAAAGCCAGACAGTTAATTGAGCGGAACAGAGATCAATGCGGGACTCTAGTTCTCTCAGTAGATTTTGTGTGTCAGTGTATTTTGGGCAGTTTAAAAGTGGTATCAAACAAACAAACATATGTCAACTGTGTCTAGTTGGTGATCAAATATTTTAGCTTTCAAAAATAGAGGACAACTACTACACAACTACACTTGGGCAAAAATAATTTTACACACTAAGTCCTAGGTGATAATCATTGCTTTTTATGCACCATACGGTATATTATAAGTGATTGCTCCTCACAGATACTGCAAATATTCATCATAAATAAAAGCTACAAATTTCAAAACATGGGGAATATGTGCATTCATACCGAAAGTGTTTCAATACAACTGTTACGGTAATTTAATGTTGAGTTTGAGGCTCTTTGTACAGTGGCCTAATGATTTGTACACTCATTTCAACAGCAAACAACCATTTGTAATATATGATACACTCAGTTCACAAGCAACTACTCTAATCCTGTCTCATCATCTGCGATTTGCATTATTAAGCAGGAGTATACATGCAAAAATGTTTTAGAGGCATTGTTGTTGTTCTTTCCAATAAACATTTGACTTTTTTTCTCCAGATCTAACATATGCATGGGTGTTCAATGAGTACCCATACTTTGTTCAGCAAGACAATCGGCGGTTCGTGTCACAGCAGACTGGAAACCTTTACATCTCCAAGGTGGAGCCATCAGACGTGGGCAACTACACCTGTGTGGTCATGAACAGTGTGACAAAGGGCAAAGTTCAAAGTTCACCCACCTCTTTGATCCTCAGGACTGACGGTGAGCCTGATTTTTTATTCTTTATTAAAAAGTTCTACACAAAATGAGGATGAATGAGGATACAGCATTATAAAGTAGATCATAAAATAAAAACAAGAGCCACTCTGTACAGGATGGTGCTTCCTGTTTTGCATTATGGAACCAGCCAAGGTCACTGAAAATATTGTCATGATTTATATATAAAATGAGGTGGTGGTCAGTGGTGCAAATGCACTAAAACTGAAAGCATTTTTTCCCAGATTTTTTATTTTTTTTCCCAACATATATTATTATTTTTTTCTATTTCCACTTTACCACTTAATAAAAATCAAGCGACTGCAGTTGTGGATGGGATGTGAATTCAAGTTCTGACATCTGAAACAATAAACATGAATAACTACCACAGACATTTAAGTGAACAACATAATGTTAAAACAATTTTTGTTTTATTTTTTTCATAATGCAAAGGTTAAAGGGTAATGTTTGGAGGTGCTTTAGTGCTGGTAGTGCCCGAGCGCCCTCTGCTTTTCCACTATGGCCGCTCCTTTTGGGTGGCTGGATGGCTGTGCACTTTCACACTGAAAATTCAGAAAACGCTTCCCCTCTCATGCTGAGAAGAGTGCAGAAGGCTCCTGCACCTTCCTAGGCAGTTTCTTATTGTCTTTGTGCGTTGTATCTCCACCAACTCCGATACCAGTAGTTTGAGAGTCTCTGCGGGTATCTGGATCCAACCAGTTTGTGTTTCTCATCTCAGAGATTATTTTGTTCTGTGCTTTAAGTTGTTCCTTCATCTTTTCAAGGACTTAACTGATGCTGGATAGCTCTTGTTTGAGCTGGACTTTTTCTCTCACTGACCTGTTATACAGATATCAGATCTCCTTGTATACAATTATTTGGATCTCCAGCTCTTTGTCTTTCTTCTTGAGAGAAGCTTTAAGTTTATGCATCACCAAATTGTTAGTCTTATTTCTGACTTTTTTGGAGTTTGGAAGCTCTTGCTTCAGCTGCTCATTTCCCTGTACTGTAGACTTGTACAAGATCTCCTTATGTACATGAGTCTGGTCTTGCAGTTGCTTGTCTTTCTTCTGGAGAGTATCATTGCAATTTTTTTCAACTCCAAGTCTCTTGCTTTGTTGATTCTCTCCTGAGACCTAAGATTGTGGTCCAAAGAATTACTTATTTGGACCCAATCTGCAAGTTTGGCCCTTGCTCACTTCAACTCTTTGCAAAGTGCCGTGACCAGAGCGCTCTTCTCCAGGGGTGGAAATACCTGGAACAGACACCAGTTGGGTCTCCTGTGGCTCTTGACCGTTCCCTGTTGGTGTGGGGCAGAACAGAGCTCAAGGTCGAAGCCGTCATCATACAGGTCTCAGTGTGCTGAGAAGTTATGAGCCAAACAAAAGTGGTTCTAGAGAGTTTTCATTTCCATGGTGATCAATGATTCTATTTTGTAATTATGGGATGATTTGCAAATTAGGAAGTAACTATTCCAAACAAAATATATCATACTATACTACTATGTTATATTATTAATATCATTTTGACATCAAATACTAAAAATACATCATTATTACATATTACTAATACATATGGCTGCTGTGTTCTATATATTCTGTTTATATTTGCTGTCATTGAATTAACAGTTGAATAACTGTCAAGGCATTTTGACATTACTGGGAAATAATGCTTGTGTAGGGTGTGGTTTGTGTATGGGTTTAGTATATACATATTTTCATTTGTACATAATATTTAGTAGGGAAGTTACCTTCTGTACTCAATAAGAGACATTTTCTTTTATGAAGCGGCTTGATTCATATGTTTTAGATTATATGAATACAGTAATAAACAGGTAATTGATTACATTATAAACAGTACATAATAAGTTCAGATTTTTACTGTATTTATTTTTTTAATTACATTTGTGGGTTTACAATACAAAAATCCAAACAGTAAAATCACATAGTTTCACAAGAGAAAGTAGGGAGTTATGTTTGTGTAAGTGCAATGATTAATTTATCAGGAAAAAAAATGTTTACACAGAAGAGTGAACCATTTACATAGAACAAAACACACTGTAATTTGAATACAATTAAAACAATATTCATTTTCCAAAACCTACAGCCTTAGAAGAAGTCAAATATATCCCCTCCTAACACAAAAACCCATTTTATTCAACAATTTTTCCCCCAAACTTCACCTTAAAGTTATCACAGTGGCCTTATTTTAAACCACTTATTTGGAACCTTGATACAAATTTGTTTACTCTGTTGGAATTATTTTTCATGAATATAATGCAAAGAATGTTGCTCTGGGTGTGTTTGCTTGCACTGCTCACTAAAACACATGATATGGATTTAGGTACATTCAAAACAGTAATAGCAATGGATATTTTTTTATTTCTAAAAATCTTCTATGCACAAAAATAATGACATTTTGCCAGTTCTTCTTATTTATTTGAAAATAATCTTACTTTGGCTGTTTCAACTGCTTATTTATTCTGATAGAAAATAATCTGTTGTGTCTGCTGAAATGATTAGATATGTGGTTTCCAGGAGTCCATTATCTACAATATCTGAGCTTTTTGACTGGGAGAACTGATGTGGTAAATGTAGCAGGTACTGGCACAATAAGAGGGTAATAATCAGGCAGTGTCCCCTTAAGTGCATTTATCTGATCAAAAATTGGCCCGAGAGCCAGCCCCCCTTCCTCGATTCTCTGGACTTGCAGTCTTCTAATGCCTGTAAGTAAACAGTTATGCTTAAATGTGGGCCAGCAAACAAAGCCTCCAAATCTCCTCTTTGCTGACTTTGCGTTCTTTCAATTTCCCTTTAAAAGCTTTCTCTTTGCCTCTCTGCGCTGTTCTATTCACCGTTACACTCTCATAGAAGGAGTGAATAAAGATTGCCTCGGAAATGAATAAACCATAAGCCATACGCCATTGGACCATTACATTGAGTGTTCTTGTGGCTTAACCAGTAGAGTTTTTGCGTCCATGTTGTAGCATACATTCAAATCCTGCCGCATCACTTGCACATCCCGGGCTCCACAGTCAGAATACTAATACAAATGCACTGTTTGAACTGCCCACTCAACTATTGAAAAATGAAATCAACAGCTGAAATGTTCCCACTATAACCCACCAAGATGAGATTTTTGAATTATTTCTCGCTGATACGCGGGTGCTCTTGGGTGGCTGCACATTTAAAGCAACGCTCTACTTTACTTTGGTTTTACCCACCAGAGGATTGTAAGCTTGTGTGTCTTTTATTCCTACCCCTGTTAGTTTTACCGCTCTATTGTTTTGGTCCATGATGCAGGCCGTATTGCATGTAACTCATGAATAATGCAAAGCTGAGAGAGTTTTTCTGCTTATTTCTTTATTTGCACAGGCGTGATGGGTGAATATGAGCCGAAAATAGAAGTTAATTTTCCAGACAATGTATCAGCAGCTAAAGGATCAACGGTTACGCTGGAGTGTTTCGCCCTTGGAAAGTGAGTAGGAATTCTTCATGTTTATAATGCGAGCTAAAAATACAAAAATTTTGATACAGCTACTAACAAGGCAATTATTTCCCTTATCCTGACTGTGCTGCAAACTAGTCCGAGCTGCCTTTTAACAATGGATTGGCAAACTGCCCTGAACAAATAAATCAATGTTGTGAATAGGCTCTTTGGGGCATTAGGAAAAAACGCCAACAACAACAATTTAATATTTTGTAGTTGAAGTGATTTGCTTCAACTTGAAAGTCTCCTATGGTCTAAAAATCCTCATTTTTAAAATAAGACATCATACGGTGAATGGGGGTAAGGGGAGGGAAGAGACATTCAGTAAGTTTTCCCCAACCTAAACATTTAGTGGCATGGTTTAACACATTTCTAATGGATGATGATTTTGCCCACCCATAGTCAGGAGTCAGTCTTACTTCTAGGGATGTCACAATATTAAATTGTAGTTGTAAGATTGTGAGAATTTATTTATTTTTTTTTTTCAAATGATTCTGACTTGAATCATCACAATTATTGATTAACAGAATAATTCTGACATCCCTACTCATGATGCTAAGACTGGCATGGACCTGAGCATAGGACTGTCACAATCATAGATTTTGAATCACTACTGAGCTATATCACAATAAATTATAACATTGAAACTACTTTATGTCACTGAAACAGTAAAAAATAATGCAAGATTTCAGTAAACCTGCATTTGAATACAAATAAACAACAGAAAGTATCAATAATTAACCCTGAAAGTGACTTTTTCGTCACTCTACAGCTCATATCTTATCATATTACATAAAAAATACCAGAAACCTCCCCACTATTGCAACGAAAATATACTCATAATAAATATTGAGCCTCAAAATATACTGTTCCAACTTTCATGTACTGAACGACAAGTTGATATAGTAATAATTATGACAGGCTTACCCGAGCATGTGTGGTGCAACCTGTCCCCTTAGTCATAGTGTAACACCTAAATTCTTTTTTGTTTTCTAAAGTCCTGTACCAGAAATCACCTGGAAAAGAGCAAATGGCGTTCCGTTCCCCAGCAAAGTTAAAATGAAATACTCCAATGCGGTCCTGGAGATCCCGAGCTTTCAGCAGGATGACACTGGAGGCTACGAGTGCGTGGCAGAGAACAAGATGGGCAAAAACATAGCCACTGGCAAACTGGCCTTTTACGGTAAGCACTGTTTCTCCTAAGATCACAGACTTTCATTTAACGGTGGCTTTTGCTCAGAATTATGTAAATTTTCTTCTGCTGCATAATGTTGTGCTTTGTGATAACGCCCATTAATGCCTGGCCCTCAATATTTAGAAGGCACATGGGGAGGTTTTATTGGAACACTGTGCAACCTTTTCTCCTCAAATCATACATTCTCAAGAATATTAATTAGGCTTTTGTTACACCTTTATAATTTGAAATGCTATTACAATTCATAAACATGCGCCTGCAGTATTTTCTGAATGTAGTGTATAATCTTGTAAAAGTCAGTAATGAGTCACTGACATATGGTTTTAAAATTTTGTTAAAGGGCCCATTTTATGCTCTCTGATCCATGTTATAATGTTGTTTCCTCATCACAAACATAAATGGAGCTGTGTTTTGTTTCACTGACACGTCTTTAACACACAAACCTTGTATATTTAGGCTGAGTTCTTCTCTCAAACAGAAAAACACGGTTCCAACTTGTGATGTCATGTAGGAATACAAGAAGTTCTCCATTATGTTTTTAAACTCCAAACACTTTCACTAGAATCATTTGAATAATTTCAGCCCTGGAATTGCCCTTCTCTGTTCAATAAAGGTAAAAAACTACTACATCACAATGACATCATGAGGTGGAACAGAGCATTTTGAGCTTTGGAGATAGTCGAACATGTGTGAATGAAAGAAAAAACACAACAACAGGTATGTTTTTGGTGAGGTAACAGAATTATAAGATGGCTTAAGAGTCCTTTAAAGGTGCACTGTGTAACCTTTATAGAGGAGGGACTGTTTGTCTCTTTGTAAATGTCATTGCTTTGCCTGGAATATTCTCCAGTATGGCATTAAATTACAGATAACACTACTTAGGCTGCGTTCAGACTGCAGCCTGAAGTGACCTGTATCCGATTTTTTGGCCCCTATGTGACCTGTATCCGATCGTTTAATGACAGTCTGAACGACACAGATCCGATTTTTTCAAATGCGACCCAGGCCACTTGGATATGTGGTCCTGAAACCGATACATATCCGATCTTTTGACATGCGACTTCAGTGTGAACGGCCAAAGCGCATTCATCCGACCTACACGTTATCAACAAGCCACAAACAAGTCACTATTCTGCGCTGAAGTAGGCGAAAATTGTTAATGAACTCCGAGTCACTGAAGCGAAGTACATGGCCACTCACCACTCTTGGCTGCGTCTCCACATCCACACGTTCCTTTCAATGGACGTCGCTGCCGCTGTCCCACAAAACACCACGGACAAAAACCTCGTCCTTCTCCTTCTCAATCTCCTCCTTAAAACAAGTAAGTTGTTCATGTTCTGGCTCCGGTACGAGAGGAACTTTAAAATCTCCATGTGCTCAATGCTGCGTCCATGTTTGGACAACTTCTGTAAACACAGAGCACGCTCGCTGCGGTTGACGTCATTGTGTCTCCAGTGCACATGCGGGACACTTTCGGGCCGTTTTACGTTCACACAGCTGATTACATACAAGTCGCATTTAATTGGAAATGTGAACGACCTCGCAAAAACATCGGATTTCACAAAAAAATCGGAATTGAGCATTAAGCCCTGCAGTCTGAACGTAGCCTTACTCATGTCTCTTATAGAAAGGTTCCACATTCTGGCATTTGGCTTATGACATTAAACGACATGTGACAAAGGTTTAAAAAATAGTATGAAGAAAAAACCTAAACAAAACTTCAGCGTGTACTGACTGTTCGTAGTCTTTGAACTTAACAAGAAGAAGACAAAGGCGGCCAAATGGGAGACACATTTTGAACCATATTTGTTGATACTGAAAGCTAATTATTTTGACAGTTGTTCTGTGAGGAAAAAGGAATGTATTGTAACAGACTTGAGCTTACATCAAAAGTTTACTTCCTTCTTATTCTTGTTCAGTGACATAATGGTGCTATTTGTTCAAACAGTGAACTTTTCATGTTTCTCATATAACTGAAGTTTGAACTTTTTAAATTGAGAATGTTATATTTTAACGTTCCCTCATCAAAAACATGCCTGAGATGCCTTAGATGTCACCCATGCATGTTTCAGTAATTTAGCAATCTCTTCCAAGCTCTATTCAAACCCTCATTACTGTTAGCAGTATGATTCTGTCCACGAAACTATGCTATCCATGCTCCTACGCGACAATTCTCCGTAAATATACAAACGCATGATTAAACTATACACAACAATTTGACAAACCTGATGAGATGTGCAGTAGTTTCATTACAGTGACTTAGTGTAGAGGGGAGACTCAGAGCAAAACTTATGAAACATGTTGATATGTTATTTTCCACAAATATAGCATTTTCAACACAATAAAAGGTAACATGGCAACCTAAATGTGTTAGCAGTTAATACCCCATCGAAGTAAAATACCCTCTCTTTAACCTTAAATCTAAACTCTTCTTGTTTTATCTTCTAGTGGCATGAGATATTGTCCCATCCCTATTGCATATATTGTTGTTTATGGAAGCCCTCTGATTTTTATTAGTACAGACGTGAAACAGTTATACTAACAACCTCCTGCATGCGCATCACTTACTGCATACTGAATGTGCTGCCTTCTTCGATATTCTAATTTGTTGGTGTGGCGGCATAACAGTTTCTATTGGATTACATAGTTTTATCAGTCTAAACCGAATCAGAAAGCCCCCAGTGACTTCCCCACCAGCTCCGATCTGTAGCATTATCCACATTTTCTCTTCCCACACACTGAGCGACTTAGGAGCACAGCCCAGAACACTGCGCTCTGCTCTAGAAAAACTGCAGAAAAGCTTTTAACCCAAGTGCCAACTCACTCTCACTGTCTCAAGTTAGATTACTACATTGATTAGGCTAAGTCTCTCCAGTGATGGTTTATTTTTGCATAAACACTTAGCAACATCTTAGTCAACATCTCTCCCTGCTCCCTGCTTCTCACTCTCATATTAATTAAGCTAATCAAGTCGTGGCTATGCACTGCTAATCAATTTCTGACACGAGATACGAGGCATATCAATCTTTCTGTGTGACATTCAAGAAAGCTGTGTTGAATGATGTTTTGAGATCTGTGATGTAGTGCAATAATAGCTATAACATTATCGGACTTTTTTTTATAACATTGCCTTATATCAGTCATTGCTTCCTGACTCTGCTGATAGAGGGACGTAGAATGTTATCATAGACTTTTTTTATCTTGTTATGATCATCGGCTTCAAGGGGGACAAAATCACATAATTCAAATAGGAAAATGGTTTAGTCTAATACTGTTCAGGACGTGGTTGTAAGAAGTGGTTGTCATGGTGTCCTACCTGGATACAAACCAACAAATGTGGGTTCTTGGGTGATATGTGAAGCAAATTCATAATGTTATTTTTTATTATTTTATTTTTATTTTATGTTGAATAATCTTAATTTTCGTTAAGTTTAAAATTCATTCAGTTTTGTCTTAGTAAAAACAAATTAAAAAAAAAAAGTTAAATAAATTTTCTGAATCTAAAGATACAGATTTTTTTGTGTTATGTAACACAAAAATAGTAATATTTCTTTCTCCAAAATTGGACATCTGCTCCAGAACACATGCTTTTACTGACAGAAAATTGGCTGTCGACTTCTTAATTAAAAAGACCCAAGCTGATCATTGATAATTAGAAATCAGTGAATTTTGATCTTAATTAATTTTTATTAATTGCACAGCCATAAATCAAATGATATGCTCTGTTTCATGTAGTTTCAGCGAAGAGCACAGAATTTATGTAGTTACACTTGAAAGTCCATGCTTCCTTGATTACTTTAATTTCCTGTGAGCTTCAAGATAGATTTTAAAGTTATTTTTTCTTTTATTTATAAAGCTCTTAATTGTGTTAGTCCTATTTATTTATTCATTTATTTATTTATCTGATCTGCATTTATCATATAAGCCCTCTCGGACTCTCAGGACCTCAGATAGTTATCTTTTAACTGTCCCAAGAGTCCAAACTAAATCTCACAGTGAGGCGTCATTCAGTTTTTACAGCCCTGTGTGTGGAACTACCTGCCTGAGGATCTGAGGTCTGCTGTGAGTTTTCATATTTTTAAGTCAAATCTTTTTAATTTAGCTTTCAATTGAAATTTTTACTTGTTTTAAATTTAATTATTGTTCTGAATAAAATTATTATTATTTTACTTAGCCTTCATCTAATTTTAGCTTGCTTTTTTTTTTTTTTTTTTGTATAACCTTTATACTTTACGTTTCTATGTAAATTGCTGTATATATGGAAACAGTGGGGTGGGGTAGCTGCTGTTTTTAATCATTATAGTATTTCTGTGTGAAGCACTTTGTGGTACATTTCAAATGTAGGCAGTAGGGTTTTATAAGAGCAGCATTTTAGAGCCTTAACCATGTGTATCTGGAAAAATGATAGACCCTTTCCTCCACCTGGTAATAGTAATGTGGTTCTGAAGTCCTAGCATCTGCTCTCTCAACTCTTCTCCAAATCCCACCAACATCAGCCACAGCCAAACACGGCAGGTTTTTGCTTTAGGGTCAGGCTAAGACACAAAAGTTTACTACAAAGAGGAAAAACAATTGACCATTCGACCCTAACCCTCCAATGAAGGGGTCAATCCAGCAACGTTTTGTTAAAATACTCAGCATGTCTCAGGAAGGACATGGGTAGTTGTTTTTACAGACATGGAATAGTTCCTAGTTCCTAATAAAGTGGTCACCAGTGAGTCTATGTATGACAGGCGAATGCACAAAGGCTATAGTTGTAGTTTATAACTTTCTGACTTGAGGTGAGAGGTTATTCTTTGAGTGCTCAGAAAGGTTGCAATTGAAAACCCTTTTTACTTTTATAGTGCTCTCTGCTCAGTTGCCACGAGCTGCAAAACACATTTCAATGATGGAGTTTACACAAGACAGTACTTGGAGGAGACCTGCAATTGTCTGTGTACTTTTAACGGCCCCCTGTAGTATTCAGTTGTCTAAGAAAATGCTCATTTAGATTAGTGTCGCCCATAAAGTGAGTCAGGGCCCCAGGGTAGAGCAGTATACAGTTTATGTGGGTCACTGTCTCATGAATTGATAGTCTTGCCTACAGTAACCGGGAATAGTCCCAATACTACTCTTAAGGGGACAAGTGCACATACATATAATTGATAAGCAGTATAAATCACTTAATTACCACAACCTTACACATACAAGACACAACTGAACAATTTAGTTATGTTGTCCAAGTCATATTTGAATTGCTAATGTTCTTGCCTGTGTATTTACATTTTAGTAACTTACACAGATCAAGCAAATGTGTTTACTTGGGAAAATGGCATATCTTGAATCTAGTTAGAGACACGAGCAGTGTTCACATTCATACAGGAGACTATGGTGGCTGTCCATAGTCTAAAAACAGCCTCTACTTTACATTGGCAATGCCAAAACACACTTAATTGCCCATTTTATGATCACAAACATTTAAAAGTAACAATTCTGACTACAAATTTAAGATTTAAATAAATGTTTTGTAAACTCCCCAAATTCTGTAATTCTGTGCGTTCTGGAAAAGTCCAGAACGGCTGTCTGACCGTCGTATTAGACCCCCCCCTATCATGATCTTTATCATGGGCTGCTGTATCGATATAGTGCTAGACTATATCTGTATATGATAAGACTTTTTTGGTATATTTCACTAAATTAATTTGTAACAGTACTACAATTTTGATGTTTTTTTCAGGAAACTTAAAAATAGTGATATGTTGCAGAATATTGTGTGAAATATATTGATTATGGCACGTATGTGAACCATGTGTCAAGTATCGAATTGTGAGGGATCCTTCAATTCTGAGCCCTAATTTGTGGCATCATAGTCTCCTTAAAATGTATGCACACTGCATACATGTTTAAAATGTAACAGCACAAGCACATTGCTGTAGATTTACTAATAAAAAAGTGCATATCATGTTTGTAGGCCTAAAAGATGACAGAAGAAAATAAAATATGAACATGACAAATCACTGAACTGATGATAGTTCTTTATTTTATTTTATTTTATTGTTTTCTTTCCAATCATCTTCTTAGTGGCCCTGATTGAAAATCCCAGGTCCTTCATGTCTCAGACAAAGCAGAGCAAAATGCATTTGATTTGAGATGAGACTTGACTTGTAAAAGTGTTCTCACTACGGGGCGAGTATTGATTGGGTATATTCAATTAGTCAAACTCTGAAGAAAAATAGTCATTGTGTTCTGAATGAGGACAAATACAAAGTCTTCAGGATTTAGAGAGGGGTGGAGAGAGCACCTGTTTGTCTTGTGTTCATTTGAAAAGTGAGTCTTGAACAAAGTAACATATTAGAAATAGATTTCAGAGAGACAAGAGTTCATTGCTAATTAGTGGAAAACAGCTGGACTAAATGTGTTTATTCACTTGCTTGTCTCATGTGGTCTCCAGACACATGCATTTTTAAAGCTAAGACCGTATTTGGTTATTTTTTTTATCTTTTTGTTTGAGTAATGGTAAAACTGAGCTGTTATAATTATACAACATATCTAATAAATCCACTCTGTTGGTTTCTGTTTATAATGGCGTCTTCAACCCTGTGGTGAGGCCAAGAATCCAGACATTATAAGAACTGCCTGAACTAGCTGTTTGTAAATACATTCATTGGATTATTTTCAGTGCTATATTTTCCATTTCCGTGTCAATTGGTAAATAAAATAATTTCTGTATCTGTATCAAGTGTAAACTCAGCCATACATACTGTAAGCTATACAACTGAATAAAATATAGTATTAATATTTTCATTGTCCAGCAGTCTAAGGATGTGTCCTTGATTTTAGTGCATATTTGATGAGATAAATTAAAGTGCTGCACATTCAAAGCAGTATATGATGTGTCCACAGCCAAACCCCAGTGGATTCAGACCATGAAGGACACTGCCCTGGCCATAGAGGAGCGCCTGTACTGGGAATGCCGCGCCAATGGAAAACCCAAACCCTCCTACACCTGGCTCAAGAACGGACAGCAACTGGTGCCAGAGGTAAGTCTACATCTGTCTGCAGCACTGCCAGTACCACTATCCACTACCCTATATTTTCGCAGTTGGAGTAGTTGGGCAATATATTAAAACATTTATATTGTGTTTAAATGAAATAGTTAGAGTGAAATATTTCTGCGTTTTTGTGGTTAATTTTATGCTTCATTCAAATTTTGTGTAATACTTGATCATTTCTAGGCACGTTTATTATGCACGCTTAAAAAATATCAAGAGATACATTTTTGTCAATATCGTCCACCCTTAAGTAGGAGGTTTTTGCAATGTTTTCTACAAGGTTTTTCGAGGTTTTCCAAATGCGGTTTGATCCTGGATCCCAAAAACATTAAAAAATAGGCATTGCCCATTGATTTTTAGTCGATATGATCTTCAATATGTCTTGCAGTTGTGTCCGATAATCAGTATTTGCCAACATCAGTATTTTAAAATGCATGTCAACACCCACACATTTATGTATTTGTAGTTTAACTCACACATTAACTCCTGAAAAGTGAAAGTTTAGACCAAGCAAATTGGGTTTTATGCAAGTTGTAATTTTGGGTTGATTTTAGCTCAAAATTGCTCCACTTTCTAATTTTAAAGGTAAATTGCTCAGTTTCCATCTCAACCACCTCCTGACATTTCATTTAAAAACCAAATCTCTCCTCTTGCATTTTCTGTACTTTGTCAAGCAATGGGCTGAAACACATTGCAGTTATTCAGCCTACAGCGGAGAGTGATGAGTTGTGGATGTAACTGTCTTCCTTTGCCGCTACCTTTTGGCAGATTACACAGTCTTAGGGAGGATCAGTGCGGTCCCTGTGAGATGGGTCCATTTCCTGTGAATAGGGACACTGGTTGTTTTCATTATTCATGCTGCATGGTAAAGCTGCTGCAGATTTAGGGGACAATGGGCTTAATCTCCAGAGCAGTTTACAATACAAAAGAACACCTTGGTTCAGACCACCGGAGATGCATGTATTGGCTCCTGCATGGTTTTGATAAATTTAAGCTTCATTTTAGGAGGTTTGGGTAATTTAATAAAAAGACAATATAAGAAATTTACATTATTACAATAATTTAAAAAATATATTAAGATTTAGTGAAGGGTGACATGGAAAACGCATCATATTTTAATTTCTCATGTTGATCGATCACAATTTTCAATTCATTTTCTTGTTGTCTTATGAAAAACTAATTAAAATCAATATTAATTTCCTGAACTTAAACAATGCAGACTTTTATTAATTGCTGCTTAAAACAAAAAAGACTGCCAATGTCTGAACTCTGCCCAAAGCCACATGCTTCTAGTGACCCCTTGATTAAAAATACCCCAGCTGATCATTGACAATTAACATAACAAAATCTCAGTTAAAACTTGATTAATTGCTTAGCCTTGTTGTGATCTGATCCCCTGTAACAATTTGCTATTTTGGAGATAGTTCAGTGCTTCTCTGTGTAACGCATAGCTACTTACACACAGAGGGCCTCATTTATTAAGTGTGTTTGCTCTTGTGCTAAACAGCTAAACATACTAAAAGTGGAGCTAAAATCTGACGCGAAAAAAGACACAGCTCAGTTTTGTTCCTATGAGAGAGTTTTCGCCAACGTGCGCAAAATTTGATTCAGAGGAAATGCAAATGAAGCTGTTTAGCGGGTGCTGCCAGATTTATTACAACTATAGAGCAGTTCCTAATGGTAAATCACACGCAACACGCCCACAAATTACTCATGCTACTTTTAAGTTTAACACATGGATTGATAACTCAGGCCCAGAAAGTGAAAATGACTGAATTGAAAGAAGCATCAAATAGCTTTAGTACCTCTTAAAAGCTATATAAAGATGTAGATAAAGTCTAAATTGTGATCTACCATCAATAATGTTAGAATTCTTTGGCCTTTCCCTCATAAGCAATAAATAACAAAAACATACGGTGATGATTTGTCATGTCCTCTCACATCAATACGTTTGGAGGTAATACATCTCTCCCTGAGAGACTGTGCTATCCAAGTAACTTGAGTGGCAGCACAGCTATTGGCCACAGACTTATTAATTGAAGCGTTTCATTGTATGCTGAACGAGTAATCATTCATCTCCTGTATTGTCAAATGAAAAAGATTGATATCAGACAGTGAGTCTTTTTAATACTGCTGTCTATGACCTCGCCTGACTTTTCCTCACTGCTGCCAGAGCCGGCAAATCTTTTGGATGTTTGGTGAAAATCTCATTGAGAAAGAGCTATTCCTTTAGTGTGAATGCAAATGATGTTTATGATTGCGTCTGGGTGCCTCTTTCTTGGTTCATTACAGAAACAGAGCCTAAATTGAGATTAGCTGATCGAACCATTAGCTTAACAACCGCCTTCAAAAAGGACAGATGCAATTACATTTTGCTGCCACCAGTGTCATTACCATCACGTTTTACATGCCGTATGGTATAGGGGTCTTTTTCATATCTCTTTTAGGTGTCAGTCTAGTCTTATTTTCCTTTCAGTCAAACTAAAGACAATACAACTGCTGCAAAATGGCATTTTGTTGTTCACATTTGCTGCATGTATAAAATGACATTTTACGATATATATTTTTCAATACAGACAGCCTAGACTAAAAAAATAGTAATTTTATATTCAACTTGCTATTGTATTGTCTTGCTAAGAAGCTACACATAGTTTTGGTGTTTGGCTGTAATCTGGAGCTCATTTAATGGCAATGTTAACACATGGAGATTGTGACAGACAACCATTCACACTCACCTTTATTCCAGATGGACTATTTAGAAGCTCAAGCTCCAGCCTACCCTTGGATACTCAAACTCAGAAGTCTCTGCTCTGACTAGACACATATAACAATGTAACACAATAAGAAATGCAAGTAGAATTATTATTATATAATCAATATAATTATAGCGGAAACAGAAATCACAAACTGAGACTTAATAACCATAATTGATTAGACTGATGCGTCATCATAGCTTTTGCAACTGCTAAACTGAACCAAAGATGTTATTATGGTGTTTTAAATGAATGGTTTAGAATTGAAGTCTCATGCTCGCCCTGTATTTAATTGATTTAAGAATATCAAAACTGATTCTTTTTTCAAAATTGCAGTAATAGTTGGTCTCAGCAGTCTGTCTTCAAAAGAAAGATTTTTTTCAATAGCTGTCCTTTTTTAAGCATAATTTTTGAAATATACTTTTTGCAATCAAGGAAAGTGCTAGATACCCAAACCATTGAAGTACTTCTCTGATTTTGTATTTCTCTATCAACTACAACAACTGCACAATCATTACTCACACCCTGAAATGATTAGCCAAACAATATGCAGCTCACTTTATTACCCGAGCCCCGAGTGTGAGAATATCTCCAACAAAACAACAAAGAAGGCGTCTTGTGTAATGTACTGCTGTGCTGAGAAAAAACTTTTATTTGTTCTCCAATTTACAGCACCAGTGTTCCTTGTTTGATCGACGCCCAGTGATAGTGCCTTGAAGCTAACATGCTGCTTGCTGCTCCTTTGCCCTGAAGCCTGCTGAGCCAAGCAAGAGCCACCTTTTAGACTTTTGTTGTAATTGCTTTTCTTTTATCCCGTTTTCTTCTTCACAGGACAGGATCCACGTGGAGGAGGGCGTGCTGTCAGTGTCCGTGCTCACATTGGCGGATGCGGGCATGTACCAGTGCGTGGCCGAGAATAAGCACGGGGTCATATACTTCGCCGCTGAACTCATGGTTTTAGGTACGAATGGCATTTTATCTGTGTGTCAAATCCTCCAATCAGAATTTGAAAGGTCATCTCACTGTCAGTCGAAAAGGTTGTACGGATTAGTGGGTAATGGGGTCAATACGGATGGTTTTGTGGGGTCAAATGCATTTAAAACATTTGTTCTTCATCGTGCGGTGAGTCTCTTTGATGTATGGGAATGGTAGTAGTGGCATTCAGAGCACTCAGTCTTTTCTGTCGTAAATCATTCACGACTTCCTTTTTGAAATGCTTGTACTTCACTCATCCTCAGTGTTTATTTTTATTACTTATTTCTATTTTATTTTGACTTATACATACACATTTATATAATTTTTTGACACCAGTCTCTTGATATTTTTGCTACTTATTTAGAATTTATTATTACCATTTCTATTTTTTCTCTTTGTTATTATATTGTATTGTGATGTGTGAGCTACTTTGTCCAAGTAATTTCCCTTGTGGATCAATAAAGTTTGTCCAAGTCTAATGCTGATTCTAACATCTTCAGTTCCCCTAACAAACCTTGAAACCGTCCATCATGATTTGCTTTGCTCTTTTCTTAAGTCAGTTTACTATGTTTTCCCATCAGCCTCCCCTCCAGACTTCACAGGGAATGTCCTCAGAGCCTTACTCAAAGCCAAGGCAGGATCCACAGTAACACTGGAGTGCAAACCCCAGGCGTATCCCATGGCCAGCATCCTGTGGAAGAAAGGGAACCTGCCCATTCACACCAGTGACAGGTGAAAACACTATCTGCACTTCAAAAGCACTTAGCCGTTTACTTGGCATTTTGTGAAAGATTCGCAATATAGTATAAGCAACTACAGGCTAAAATGAAAGGTCAGCTAGAATAAATTTTACCCAGCCTTTTATTTCTGACAACAGCACTATTCACCCAAAAGATGACTTAATTTAAGTCCATCAAATCTTAAAAAGAAGTATTTGACCTGCTATATATGGTATTGTGTATTTTGGTTACACAGTAACTCATTCCATTGTTTTTTTTTAAGTAGCACTGATACTGGAAAATTTGCTGGATCGGGTATCGATTACATGATAATATTTAAACCAATATTCTGGTTGGGATTGTAATAAGACTATTTACAGACTGATTTTGGTGTAGAATGTCTCACAATGTTTGAACTTTTATTCATATGAAATTTTTCAGTCGTGATGTGAAGGATATAACATTATTGGATCTCTTGTGTAATAATGGAGCTTTGTTTTAATTAAATAAGTACTATTTTGTAGGTATCGGATATCGGCAGATACTTAAAATCAAAGTAGCAATATCAGGATTGCTGGATCGGTGCATTCCTAGTTATTTTCATATTAAGAGTTAATAGTCAAAAATTCACCTCAGTTCTTCTAAGTGTGAAAATATTATTTGTTATATTTGTCTAATTTCCACATATTTATTCTGTGATTTCTTATATCTATTTAAAAAAAAAGTTTATACTCAGAGCATCTCCAAACCAGAGGCATATTTTGTGTTTACAGGATTAGTGAGTATTAGCGTAAAAATGACTGGATGACTAACAAGGCTTCTTTATCCAAGTGAAAAATAAAAGCAATACATGCTCTCCATATAAATTTTGTTTGTTAAAAGTTTCGTATTTGCACTAGTCACTTTATTTTCCCTTAAAATTTTAAAGAGAAAAAATCTATCATTAATTCAAGGAGAGTGCTCAAAATGTACCACTCTAACAAGCATTTTAAAAAAGCAATACAATCGCAATCCATTAGTGGTCATCATAATGAGGGCACATCGCAGCATAGAGAGCCCTCTAAGGTTTATTGCAAACTGGTTTTAGTCTGAGAATCTGAAAACAGTTAGCTCATTCGTTATGAATGGATAATTGAAAAGACAACCAAAACACAAAATGCTAACAGAAACAGTTTATAATAGTTTATATTAGTTTATTTGTTTTATTTTTTATTTTAATTGTGAAAAATCAGCATTTTTTATAATTGTGGAAACGTTTGTCATTGTCAAAAAAAAAAAAAATCTTGTGCTACCTTAGCTGGAAGCTGGAAACCAAATACCAACAACTGTCTTGAAAATTACAAGATCATTGACAAGCTGAGATGTGAAGTTGTTGATTGTGAAGTCCCTCCACTGACACAGCTGTCCGCCTCTGCAGGATTCGATTGTCCCCTGACGGCACATTAAGACTGGCCAACGTGAGCAAGTCAGACGCAGGCAGCTATACGTGCTTCGCCAGGAATAGATTTGGCATGTCTAGTACCACGGGGCGCCTGCTTGTTACTGGTGAGTTTGCTCTATTAAGTAGCCTGAAAAGTGTTGTGCTCGCCACTTAGTAAGCACAATTTATTGCACAGTAAAGATTATCACAAATGGGTGCCTCTGACCGCAAAGGACGCGAGTCAATAACCGGTGGGTAGTGAGCATAAACAAACTCATGCTCTAAGGAGGCTGTCAAAACATTGGAAAGGCTGTCCTCTTAGGCGATAAACAAAGAACCTTAGCATAATTAAGTAGCAGCCTTCAAAACATTTGGGATTAATTTCTGTTTGCTATTTTGAACGGAAGACGATGCTGTGCTGGGCTTAACTTTGCAAACTGTTAATTTTATCGACTTTCAGGTCAAATTACATTTTCGCTGCAGCTGCAATAAAGCACTTAGTTTGAGCATAGCACTTGATCAAGCTTGTCCTTAGCGTAGTTGAAACCACCAATTTAGTGCGACAAGTGAAGGCAACGGTAGCATTAGTCACAGAGGTGTGTCAACATTATCGAAAATGTGCTTCCACCCCAGCCATTGACTCTTGATTGGCACTGGGCACGCTAAAACTACCTAGCTCACCTTTTGTACTAATTACTGGCTTTATTTTTCAAAGTAACACAGAAGGGTCACCTACGCTTTGATTATGAGTGTCTTGGGGCTCAAGCCATGCTCTTTCTATGTCCTTTTACTCAATGATAGTCCATTTAAGGTACTTAGTTAAGTGTGCGTTCTTTGCTTTGTACCTTTCTGTGTAGGTTCATTATGCTGACTTTCGAGGCACAGAGACTTGGCCAAATGATTCCCTTTTGCAGATTGTAAAGCCCTGGTTTTTTTGTCTCGCACGTAGGCCCCATTACATGAAGCTTTATCAGATCTGCTGCGCATTGTAATTGCTATCAGGATTATTCGAGCTGTGTCAGCCTGAAGTATTAGGCCATTTTAGCAGCTGCACATTATCATATTATTTAAGTAAGACTTTTATGAGACAGGGTTTTATATAGAGAATACACTGCGGCGCTGCCAGTGATTTGCAGTGTTCCCTGGTAGACTTTATTTTAACACTGTTCATCATGTTCAGTGGGAGATTGGGAATGGCTTATTTTATGGGTGTAGCATTAGGCTGTGTAGGGGAGAGGGCCCTTCTTCACCCATGGTCAGGTCTGAGTTGTAAATATTCATTATCAGAAGTGGAAAACGACTAGATACTTTACTATAGTGTAACCAGGAGGTCCTGAACTCACTAGTGTGGAGAAAACAAATTTCCTATATTTATGCGTACTTTTTAAAATTAATGTTTACACAGTATTCTTTATCTTGGTATTAATACCAGTAATAATTTTCAGTTATTTTACTTGAGAATTATTGTACTTCTATAAGTTTCACAATTTATAGACAACAGAAATTCTTCTATTTATGAACATATACACCGAGGACTTCGTTAACTTTATAATGTTGTTTTTCAAAGAATAACAACATAAGAAAAATGTGACAAAGTAGTAATTTACAGAAATGTCTTCAGTTCTTGAATAGCACTGTTTATTCCCATTCACTCACAAGACTAGAGTAATCTCCCAACCAGACAAAGTTATAAAGTATGTCCCTAATACCCACAAACCAATTTGTGTTCAACTGTTTTTGCTTTTCATGAGTAGAGGTAAAACATTTGATTCTGATTTGATTCTGTGATATTACTACTTGTTCATTTCATTCCCTCCCCATAGATCCTACTCGTATCACGCAGGGCCCATCAGACATGGAGATCATTGTGGGCGAGAGCATCGTGCTGCCGTGCCAGGTGTCCAGCGACCCTGTGCTGGACATCTCCTTCTCTTGGGCCTTCAACGGACAGCTCATCGCCAAGGACGACGGCCATTTTGAGCTGGTGGGCGGGGTGAGTGACCTCCTCAGTTCTTTCTATATATCTATCTCAAATGTGCAAATGGGCAGTTGCCACCTCTCTGGCCGCTTCATCACTTTGGCTTTGATTTAAAGGGACAGCTTGCCGCTTGACATCTCGATAAGAGATTTACAGCCAACATTTGGTGTGATACCATCTTTTAAAAGTGCTCCTGGAGGAATAATAGGCTCTGGGGATGTGAGATTCTTTGTAAAAAATGATCCTATTAAATCACTCCACTCAAAGCTTGTCTATTGTGCTCCGGTGAATGAAAACATGCTGCCTGTTATGTCAAAATACACTCCAGAAATAAAAGAAACCTCTCGGTCTGTGTTTCTCTTTTTTCTGTCAAGTACTGTCAAAAATGCACCAAAAGTACCCGTTTTTATACTTGTACATATAGGTCCAGGCCTTTTCAAACATCTAAAGCCTTGATTAACAACCAGTGTGCTGGGTACACTAGTGTGCCTTGTGTGTTTGGCAGGTGTGCCTGACAAACATGTCCAATTTGAGTAAAATGGTAAATGGTCACATTTTTGCATAACCCTTTTCCACCCGTAAGGTACTCAAAGCGCTCACCCATTCACAACTGCATTCATGTACCAGTGTACACAGACACCTGGGCTGAGGTGGGTTAAGTGTCTGGCCCAAGAACACATTGGCAGCATTTATCTGTAGGAGCACTGCCAACCTGTGGGTAAACTAATTTACTGTTTGGGATTATCTTCCTGAGCCAAGAAACAAAGCAAATCTATTACCCTTACCAAATATATTTCTAGGTACCAGACACAGTGGCATGGACACTATTCGCTACAATATATATGAGGTGTGGTAATATTTTTGTAGGTGTTGTGCTGTGGAGTATTTTCAACCTAAAAAGTGTGCTGTGACTTAAAAAGGGTCTCATCTAAAAGGTGGAAAAGCTGTCTATGTGGTGGTATGGCAGATACTCTAGGTAAAATATTCATACAAAAAGTTAAATATCCAGTGATTCAGAAGAACAGAAAAGTAAAATATTCTGTTCAATTTGGGAATACAGATAGGCCAAATGCAAAATTGTGTTATATTGTTGTGTTGTAGTGTTTCTGGTTTTGCTTTTAAAAATAGTACCAGTGGTGAATCCTGTACCACCACTTGACAACCTCTGCTGTAGGTAATCCATTAGTCATTTTGACAGGTCTTCATCTGTTTGTGAGTTACTGACACTCATTCCACTGTGGTAATCGTTTGACTGGTTCTGAATTATTTTGAAGTCCCACTTTGACACTGTCTGCTGCTCCTGGGCTCATAACAGGATGAGGATGCACATCATTTGAGGTGTCTTTTTATTTTACAGGGAGTGAAAGCATGACTGAGTCTGCTTCAGAATGACAGAACACCTTCACTGCACCCTCACACCTCCGAGATTACCTATTCTCCTGCTTTTATGGGCTTCCTCCTCACTCACAAAAGATATGATGGGCCATATACCACAGAAATAATGGACTGCAGGGCTGAGACGCTAAACATATGAACTTGGTTGGTGATAGAAGTTGGCTGGTTTTATTTAGACTAAGCCTTTCACAATAATTGCTATATAAATTTATCGTTCAATAAATGAAATATAATATAATTTTTTAACCTCACTATTTATGATGTATACAATTTCTTTTTAATAGATGAGAGATTTTTGCCATTTTTCTGTAATAAAAGTAATATTTGAGCTTTCATTTGTTGCAGCGGAGGCCTTTTAATGATACTGTTCTTTAAAAATGGTTTTGCGGGATTATCCTGCATTATTGTTTTTGTGTCAGTGGCATAAAGTAGTTTCAATATTTTGTTTATCACAGTATTTGTTTGTACCAGTATATCATGCTTCAAATTTTACATATTTGATAAGTTTGTAATGGACTGTGGGGCTGAGATGCTTAAATATGAACTTGGAAGGTTGATGTTAGAAGCTGGCTGGTTTTATTTAGACAGAAGGTTTTTACATATTTGAGAAGTTCAGGATGCATTCAGCATGTGTTGCTTCTTATCCTAACGGCACAGTGCTGAATTGCTGCCACTAGTATTGTTAAGAAAGTGAAAATTATTGTGCAAATGTATTCAGTATCAAAGTATCGACAGTGGCAAACCTGAGGGTCGGGAACGTTGCCCATGCATGTGCTGCTGATGTGTCCTTGGGCAAGACACTTCACCCACATTACAGCATGTGGTTGGATGTTCCTGCCAATTCCCTGGAAGTCTGGTTCACTGTGCTAAAAAAGAGAGGATGCCAAAAAATAAATAAATATGGGAATACAGCATACAGTAGTTTTGTTATTATACATTTCCCAGCAAAATGACAACTGAACTTGTCTTTTTAAGTGAAAAATGTAGTTTTTTTCTTGGCAAACATCCTGCATTTAGAGTGGAGTCAGTGCTCTTGTCTTCAATGTAATAATGAAGCGATAGCTATGACACCAGAGGCAGCCGAATGAGCTGTCAATCATATCTGTCAATCTTCACGTCTTATGGGGCCATGTGATAATAATTTGTCAGAAATCTTCTTTAACAAATCAGTTTTTGACAGATGCACCCGAAGAGAACCAAAATGGTGTTATTTGATATTTATTCTTACTTATTTGTGTGGTTTTAGAATCTTACTGTCTGTCAATGGTTGTGACATTTTGCACTTCAAATCTGGTCTTGTCCGCATGTGATCCCACATCGCCTTATTTCCTCTGTGTATTAAATGTCCCCAGTCCACAGAGATTATCAACTTAACTTCTGCTGCTTCAAGGAATTAATTTCCATAATTAAACCAAGCTGGCGCTGTCTCCCTCTTCCCCCTGCCAACTCTAAGAGAACAATTTTACCACTAATTTTGCCGCTTATGGCTGTCTCCTGTGATGTGACTCTAGATACAGCCTATGTCTCTCCAGTAAAACCATGTTTGTGTAGTTACTTACACAGCACATTTGGAGGTCACATTTGAAGACCTTTATCGAAAAAACAGTAAAACACTTCGAGCTCCTTTTGACATAAAAATCAATTTGCAATTTTTTTCTAGCCTTGATCCTTTTTAGTCCTGGACATCTGACTCAGAAATACTCACATTACTGTTTGTTGAAAATATCTCTTTTTGTTCCTTGTACAATTATTATTTTATGCCCACTATTTTTTTGTTTGTCCACTATTACATGCCTGACTTCATTCTTTAATTTGCTGTCACCGGATCTGTTATCTTATCTTTCATGCTACATAATATTTTCTTTCCCTCCTTTGGCAGAGAACAGCAGGAGATCTGATGATTAGGAATATTCAGCTTTACCACGCGGGCAAATATATCTGCGTGGTCGACACTGATGTGGAGAGCCTGTCAGCCGTGGCCGTATTGATCGTGAAAGGTAAGAAAACCCCCTCTTTGCGCTGGCTAATTAAATGCAGGCTGCACAGTGTTTTAAGGTTCCTCTTTCATGGTTCCTCTTTCATAAATGCAGTGGCAACTATAGCGAGTGTGATCTCTCTCTTTGAGCTAATGCCAAAGAAATTGATGTATCGCTTTTATGACAAACAAGAAAATGCACCCTTTCAGTGGCAAAATTACATCTGTCTGCTCTTACAGCTCCCTTGGTCTTTAAACTGGAATGTAATTGCAGTGTGTACAAGCCCGTTGCATGTTTTTTATTTATTTTGGATGCTGTCATATTACAGGGTGCAGTTTAGATGTCAGGCTTACTTATCTATTGTCAGTTCTGAGGAGGGCGGCGTCACTGGAGGATGAAGCAAATGTAGGAGTTGACAGAAGTGTCCAAAATCTCAGCTAGTCTTGGTGGCACATATTTATTCACATAATAATGTAAATATATGTTTTGTTTTGTTTTTTTCTGAGTTTTAAGAGACAAAACAAGACAAATGGTGTTTAATTTTGTATTTATGGGGTTTAAAGTGACAAATAATGACAATTTAAAACTTAATATTAGTTTGAATGGTCAAAAATCCTCATCAAAATCCTATACCTTAATTAGTTGTTTGTTTTTTCCTTTATTTTTTGTAAACATAACCAAAGACTTCATAATCCCTACTAAAAAAAAAGTATTTGATGTTATTGATAGTGTATTTTAGTAAAGTGCATTACTAGAGTGAGAATACTACTACTACTATTACTACTCCTACTTAGTAACTTCATTTCTAGTGGGATATTTCTACCAATATGCACCATGCAGTATTTATTCACTTGTCACTGCAATTAAACCCCACAAGAGTTCAGATTTGTTGCATGTTTTTTGATTTGCATTCTGAGTTCGATTTGCGTGGCATTTGTTCCGCCTCTCTCCACACAGCACAATCATTCATTGTGTACAGTAGATTAGAAAATTAATTAGATTGGTCGGCCTGACTAGTAGGGTAGTGGTAATGACAATTAGCAATCACATGGGTGGATTACAGTCATGTTCTTAGTTATGCAGTGCCACCCAAGCAGTCAAATTCTGCTGTCTCCAGTTTTGTTTATGGGAAAATGAAACTGAATCAGAATTTATTTGTCATTTCAATATAAAAATGACACAGCTGGTGAATTTCCCTGCAGCTAGAGGCCCAACCAGTGGTCAGGTTATGCATAGTTGTGTAGTGACCCATATACACAGACAGATAATACATTATGGGCATTTTCATTCAATAAGCAATTTGCATGCACAATTTTGCTCATATTTGTCATTAGGTTAGAAAGAGGTGTGCGCACTTGCACAGCATCTATAATATTAGGAACTTCTAGAAGGTCATATGTTTGTGGATGACTGTGACTCAGGTTGTTAGAGTGATCTCAAAATACCACCTCTGGCCAGCGTATATTGTGTTCTTGGCCAAGACACATCAACTATGTTTGAAAGTGATGTGTGGTGGTCAGAGCGGCCATTGGCATAGATTGGCAGCCATTTCCCAGTCTGTCAGCCTGAAGGCAGTAATAGAGTGTCCAACTGAGGGTACAACTATTATCTAAGTCCATCATTCTTCTCTAGTTTTGTCTTAATACAGAGATTTCAAACTTGGTATTGATACTAAACAAAAGCTCCAATCCCAGTTTCAATACTACAATGGTAATACGGCAATAGAATGTTATTTGGAACACAAACTGATAATAGTTTCTTTAATATTATGATGTGGTCTTAAACAAGATAGGATATAGATCTAAAACAATTCAGAAAAGGCCCAGATGTGTCCTATTTTTTTTTTTTTCAAATAAGAATCTTTACTTTCAATATTAGTTTCAATTATTTGTGTTCACATTTTTTGACAACCCAAGTCTTACACAAAAGCCTATTTTTGAGATTTTTATTATATTTTATTTTATTTGAGCAACTTGTTACACAGTGTAACACAAAGAAAACATTTGCAAAATAAATACTACAGAAAAGCACAGCAGTGCTCAAAAGGAGTAGGCAGAAGTAAAAGCTTATTTGAGGCTACCCTTTTTCATGGCAGAAAACAGCTGATTATTACATCCAATACCATACAAAGGAAGAGAGTCACATACATTACCCAAGTTTGGTTATATATGATATGTAATAATAGGCCTACACACTTTACATCATACTTGCATTAAAATGTATGAATTATATTTCTATTTTTCTCATAATCCCTGTTGCTTCTATTTAAGCCTGTGTAGCAACAATATTTAGTGCCATCTCCTCTGATTTTGGCAGCGCACTCACTGAACACTCGTCACACGGCTGACTAGATTCCTGCTTATTGTTGGATCCCGGCCTCTTTTTAATGTTTAATGCTCGGTGATGTGCTGTGTAGCAGGGAGTGGACTGTTTAGCTACCTGTCTGGGCCCACTCATGCAGTATGCAAAGCTCTAGAGACACACACCATTGTCGAGAGCCACACTACACTAAGCAGAACAAAATACTACAACTTTCCCTTTGTGTTGCAGTTTGCGTTGTGTAGCTTAGCGCAGGAGAGTTGAGTTTTGATCAATGCGCCTCAAATTGACACTGTGCAAATGCATTAAATGTCATGGGGGGTGAGGGATGATTTGGTTGTCAGGATTTGAAAAGGTTGGATCCATATCTCTATCTGGTGAGGCTGGAAAGCACTGTAATGCTTAGAGTGTTGGCAAATGGCAACAATAAGCACCACTTTCAAAGGACCAAGTGTCTCCAAAACAGTTCAGTTAAATATATGACAAACACTGGTTTTGTCATCAGGTTTTAACATGTATTTTTGTCATGCTAAGTTTGACAAATTGTGTACTTGTAATGGTGAGTCAAAATACAAATACTTAAAGGGCCCATATTACATTATTTTATGATCTGTGTTATAATGTTATTTAGTTATCATAAACATACCAGCAGTTGTGTTTTGTTTCATTCATACAATGTATATTAAGGCTGAGGTTATCTCTCAAGCAGAAAACACTTCCACCTTGTGATGTCATGTGGTAATACACAACGTGTTCCACTACATACATCTTCACTATAATCATTTGGATAATTTCAGCTTTGGCAATTTCTACTGAACTAAAGTAAAAAGTAGCTGTTAACTTGAAATCTACTGCTTCAGTACATCAAAAGGTGGAAAGGAGGTTGAGTTTTAGAGATGTAGACAGAATAACAGTTGCTCAAACATGTGTGAATGAAACATAACACAACTCCAGGTATGTTTTTGAGGAGGTAACAACATTATAGCATGGCTTAAAGCTCACAAGAGTCAGTTTTGTGTAATACAGGACTTTTAATACATAACTATACATCGGCAATAACAAACAACATTATAGCAACTATAAGGACTAATTCAAAACTAAACCAGAATTGATGCCTCAATTAGAGGTGGGCAAATAATTGAAATATTGATAATATGTGAATTAAGTTATACAAAATTTGAGCTGATTGAAAATTGGAAAAAACAAAAAAAACAACTAAATGAGGATATAGAGTAATGCTTCCGCATTTTTATGTGTACTTTTAAAGTCTTTTAACATTTGTCTGATACTTAAACTTAAGCTTAATGCTTTCAAAGACATGTTATGGCACCTTTCTGTTGGATTGTCAAAATATATATATTCGTGATACTCCTTATATTGAGATAACTTACATTTTGACATTATCACCCACCCCTAGCCTCAATGGAAACTTTTTTTAATCAAGGGGATATGACTGTGGTGTATTTAATTTCAATATAATCTAACTCGAAGTTTGATAGTTCAAATATCAGCATTGCTATTGCTTTTGTGTCCTTAGGCAAAACACTGTACCCACCAAGTGCTCACTAAATCAATACCATTATTATAACATTATTCTTTTATATAAATATATGGTGCAAGTATTAAATTACACAAGGTCAGTGGAATACATTTGCTTTCTATCGACAGCAAAGAAACTCACAGAGTGTGACTCCGACTGTGCATTATTTACACTTCCTGATCACGGCAGCTGTCACAGTGTCTCGTTCCCGGGATCGAAGCACGTCCAATGTGAAGGCGCAAGGTTCGATCGGAAAACCAGGAACTGTGGCCAATGCTGTGGGTGTGATCACCAGCACAAGAGCCTTGACAAGATGACAGAGGAGACAAATTTAGATCAAAGGGTTTTGTCACCGCGGGCAACCAGTTACATTGTGGAAACTCCCATTAACCTTATGCCTATGACAGGACACTAGGGCATGTACCACTGATGATGCTGGATAGGCTCCTCAGGATCGGTGCATGATATCTGTGACACCAGCTCCTCCATGATTACGCCATTGAAATGCAAGAATGTATGCATTGTATATGAGCAGGTGAAAATAGAGTCACATATTTTTACAATTCAGTTAATTCCTTTGTTTTTCCATACTAATGGATAGGCGTTTTCTCTGTAGCTCACTAAATATGAATTATAATCGAATAGATTTTATTCTTTTATTGAAGAAACAAAAAAGAAAGAAAAAATTGTGATTGCACTGCATAAAAGTTTGGCATATGGTTTGTAAGGATAGATAAGTCCACTTGAAAAGGGGTTTAAAAATTTATAATAGTAATAATAATAATTTATACATTGTTTAAACAATGAATCAAATTTGCAATTAAATCACATTATTATTTATTGAAATCAAATATATCTGGAAAAAAAACAGCTAATAAAATTCAGTGTGTGTACATGTCAGAACAAATCATTTTATTCATATTTTTTCTTTTAATTTGAGTATTAAAAATTGTACATTTATAATTTTGTTTTTTCATTGCATTCATTTTACCATGTTATTTCTTACCTTATATCAGAGGCTCCAGTGTGTATTCCTATCAGAAATATATTGAATTATTCATCTTCTATCTGTTGTACCTTACGTGGGAGGCTGGAGCGTATCCCAGTTGTTGTGGGTCAGAGCTAGGGTGCACCTGGACAACTGCCAGTTAAACTAGAGACATGCTCAAAAACAGCCATTTCAATGCTTATTTATTAACAAGGGATCATTCAAATGTACCAGTTCACTACATGCATGTCTTTCAAAAATTTGCTTAATTGGGAAGGGAAAACAGTATATAAAAACAGTAATCAAGGAGAATGAATTATGGGTGAGTGAGATAGTCATGTCAAATTACTAATTGAATTAAGAAGATAAATGTATAGACACTACATTGACCAAATATAGTTTTAGAGGATTAGTTTTAAGCATAAAAATGGTATTTATGCCCTGACTTTTCTATAGGTCCATATTTAACTGGCTCACCCCACTGCGGCCATTAAAAAGTCTGAAATTGAAGATTAAGTGGAAATCAAATGACCAGCAGCCGAATTAGTTTCCAGATTAAATGAGGCTCTGCTTTGTTTATTGCAGCTTCGTCGGCGAGGCACATTTTCTTTTGGCAGGGAGAGCCAGAACTCAAAGGGAATCTTTGCAAGTTTCATCTGCACATGCATAACAATGAAATTTTAATGTAAAGACAACAACATGAATAATGGACATCTCATTTGACTATGATACTGATGCAGGTGTTGTACTTATTCAGCTGTAGACTTATGGGCTCAGGGGTAGGGACGAGATACATCAGAAGCAAATTTCAAAGAATTAATTTTGTACATTCATTTGACTTGAGCTTAAGTTATCTAGGAACAAATATTAGATTTGCATTTGTAAAATAAATACATTTTCAAAGTTAGTGTGTTTTTAGTGTATATGTACAGTATTTTTATAGGGCTAGGCGATAAAACAAGACTTCAAATTGATTGATTGAGATTTTCAATGTGATTTATTTTTGTCTTATTAAAACAGATCAAAACAAATACAAATTGTAAGAATTAATATGAATTTCCTGAACCTAAACAATGCAGACTTTTTAATAATTGCGATTTAAAATAAAAATAGTCTGATTATTTCTTCTAAGTCTGAATTCTGCCCCAAACTACAGTCTTTTACTGACAGGGGATAGGCTCTAGTTGATTTTTTGATTGAAGAGATGATCACTGATAATTATAAATAACAAAATCTTAATAAGATAACCTTAAATTTGTACCTCAGCACCAAAGGTAATGCTTTCTTCAAATGCTAGAGAATGCTGTCATTCAAGCACATGCCTGTTGCACTGATACCCTTTTGTAGACAGTGTAGTAGAGATTGTAGTGGATTTGATTAAAAAACATAATATAAGGGGAAAAAAATACTTTAATGTATTATTTTTCCAAATGTTTTACACTGTATGTTTAATTTAGACAAGTTCTTCTATCAGAAGTCGTAGTGTTGGAATCGTACCATCTTAAATTGAGCATAGCATTGTGTTTTGTTTGCTTCTCGATATATTGTCCTTGATTTGACTAAAATGATCTGTCAATAGCTCTATTATGACAATAGCTAATTGTGCCTCTGCCGTTTAATATGGCACGTCTCTGTCCCAGTTGTTTATCCACTTGTCTCACAGCTCTGAAGGTCAGTGGTAATTGTTTGTGAGACAAAGGCTATTGAGTGATCGTGTGGGCTTTCTTCTGTTTACAACATCAGCCGACACAAATGTTTTTGAAGCCACTTGTCTCAAACACTCCACTGGGTGGTGCTGGATATGAGAAGGTCACTGCTATGGTTGCTCTATTAGCATTCACTGCAGTAACTCTTCTATTGCATCATGTGCCTAAAGGGAAACACTGAAAACACACTCCAGCTGCCTTTTATCTCAAATATGTTCTATGTTTAATTAGAAAACACGTCTTACATACTTTATAATGATTAAACTACTTTTTCCATGTTGCAGATTAATAATGCAACATTTTGATCTTCTAGTCTTTTTTATCACATCAGATTAGTCCCATGCCCTGTAAATATTATAAAGTGCACAAATTATGTGACTGTTTGGAATGTCAATGAGTGAAAATGTGAATGTGTTTTTTTATTTTTTATATTGAAATTAGAAACTAGACCAGATTTTTTTTTCTGACAAGCATTGTGACTGTGATTACATTTTATGTTTTAATAATAGGATTCTGTTAAAAATTTTAAACAGGACATCAAGGACTAAAATACTAAAACAGGCCTATAAATTCAAATTAATACAAGAATCACATGTATTTCAGAACATGCTTGTACAGATCTAAACCACAGCATTAGCAGTTTTAATGCTGAAAAAGACAGGGTATTTTGTTGCTTGTAGAGGAAATTATGGTTAGCTAATTGTGTCCATTCAAACTGAGATTAAACTCAGAAAATTATATTGAATATTGACATTTACTTCAGTAGCTACCGTCTTTTGTCATGAAACCATATTATTAATGTTTCAGGTATTCATAACACACTCTCTAATGGCATACCTCTCTAAAGCCCAGGCAAACTGTCTATATTAAAAGTGGATTATCTGACCCCCTGTAGACGCTGACAGCACCTCGTGGCCCCAGCCAATGAAATATAATTAAGAGGATAAGGAATTGATTCTTGATTGTATGCTGCAGCGTTCATATGTATTAATGAGGCCAGTGTATTAAAGGGGTTTTTGTATCAAGAGCTGGTAATGAGTTTTACATAGATCAATATCACTAAAGCCGGGGCAGTGAGGTCATGTGTGCGAAACAGCAGTGTAAACAAAACGCCGTGCCAAAGTGGTACCTCAACGGGACACATGCATATGAATACAGACGCATAAATAATATAATATCATTGTAAAAAATACATGTAGCATCTTAATCATTCGAATATAACTGGGATTATAAGTACAGTATATAGATTGCCTGAGGTGCTTTTTCTGGTGTCTGCCTCCCTCATCTCTCTTTTGTGTCGGACACAATCACTATAATAGGAAACTGTCAAGTGAAACATTACAAAGCTTAATTGGTCGAATAATGAAAATAAATGATTTAAAAATCTGTCTTCTTCAGGGCTGTTTAATCTTTTACCTTTTAATTTGACTCCCCATGTGCTGGCTTGTTACATTGATCCGTTAGTACCATGTGGGGAGAGCGTTTCTGCTGCATTTTTGAGAATACATTTTGAATTCCTTGTTAATTCTTAATGAAGATCAGCCTCCTCCAGTGAACTCTTTTAACAGTTTTCCACCTAAAGTCTCACAGATATACCCAGTATCTCCAAAGGCCACTGGAGCTTTTCAAACTAATATGCTCTAGTGCTAAAAATATGCTTATGCTGGGTTTATGTAACACACTTCATTGACCACATTCAATTATAAATATCTTACTCTCTTAAACTAAGCAATCCTCTTGTGATATCAATATCTTTTCAAAACTTTTATCGATTGTAACTTTTTTATGTAATGCACCAAAAATGTGTTTCTATTCTGAGATTGAAAACCAAGGAAACTGTTATTTACCGCACCTTACATAATATAGTCAACTAATGAGCGATATTTTGGTGAATGAAATCTGTTGGGGCCATTTTAATGAGGTTTCCATGGTGATAGGCCCTGGTTTGATGCATAATGCATAGTATTGTGTAGAATATATTGGGAAAGCCTAACTGAGTACAAGAGTTGCTAATTAGCAATTGCTTTTAACAGTGCTTCCTGTTATTTGTGTTCAAAATAACAAAAACTAAAAAAACTGTGCAGGGCTAAAATAATTGTATATTTTAGGTTTAAGGGTCACTCTTTCCTCAAGTTTGATGAACTGGTCTAAATAACGACCAGCAACAATTTATGCATCTCATACCAAATTCACTTTGCAATACACTTATTGAATTAAATAAATTATTTTAATTATGTTGTGACTGAGAAGTTGGGACTACAATAAGCTAACACAGAAAGTTAAACTCATTTACAATCTAACAACACTAACACCCTTAGACTATAAACAAAAGCCATTTCAGCCTTTGTTTGGTTTTGTGCATGTTTGAGCTGTTGAACTGACTGAACTGTTTCCTCACGTCCTCCTTCGTCCCTCTGTGCGTCTGCTCGGGACATGTGCGCTGCTCTTGTGTTGGAGCCAGGCCCCCCCAGCCCTCCAGCCGTGGTAACAGTGGAGGAGGTGACAGACAGCACGGCCCAGCTGGCCTGGAGTCCCGGCAGAGACAACGGCAGCCCCATCAGCCATTACCTCATCCAGACCCGCACTCCTTTCACCGTGGGCTGGCAGAGGGTCAACACAGGTAGGCATCACCTTAGTAGACAATGCATTCTATTCCATCAAGCACAAAATCCACATAGTTCATCCTTCATTTCATACTGAAGGGCCCATAGTTCAATACTTTCCTATTTATGTTAGAATTTGTTTTCCTCTTCAAAACATATTTTGTTTCATTCATACACAAACCCTGCATATTTAGGCAGGTTCTTCTCTCAAACAAATCAACACTCTGTTCTACCTTGTGATGTCATGTAGTAATGCAGGAAATGCTCCACTGTGTTTTTAAACTCCATACATCTTTACTAGAATAATTTGGATGATTTTAGCCCTGGCCTATCTTCTGAACAAAGGAACAAATGTAGCTGTTAACTGGCATTAGAAGGTGGAACAGCTCTGAGCTTTGGAGATGTAGACAGTCTAATAATAAAGGATTACTCAAACTTGTGCGAATGAAACAAAACACAACGCCAGTCATGTTTTTAAGGGGTGACCATCATTGTGACATGAGTCAGTTGTGTGTAGTATAGGACCTTTAAACTCAAGTCAATATCAGATTAACATGCTGCAGACTACATGTATGTATCCTGTGTTGAATGTGTCAGTGACCCAGATTTGAAGCTAGAACTAGTTCAATAGCCTCAATATAATTTCTACATTTATTTCTGTTCTTTCTGTAAGCCAAAAAAAAAAAAAAGATAAAAAGCGTACATCTAGACTGACTTGTATATTAGAGTGAGTAGAGACTTCAAGTACTTCAACAGTGCAAGAATGCAAAGTCACTTAATTGGTCACTATTGACAATCATTTGGATAGGGTTTTGGCAGGTTTTTACGTTGGCACCGTGCTCTGGCTCAATGTTTGATTTGGCAGGTCTTGTTAAACCGTAGGGGAATCTAACCCTAGATTGATCTCAAAATGTTCAACTGTGCTATAATAAATTATATTATGAAAACAAATATGTAGTGAGTGTCCACACAGCTTTTGACTGCTAGGGAATGTTTATGATTTTTAGAGTTTGGAGTGTTTTGGTTTTATAGTTGAATGCATTATTTTCTCTTCACGTAACAGTTGAATTTAAGAAATACACTTAAAATGGGGTTTTAGTAATATTCAATAAAAAATAAACATGAAAGATATCAGGCATGAGTAGTCTTAGAGTACAAGTGAGAGTTCAAAGTATCACTGTCCTGGTGCACAGAGGTGTAAAGCAGTGTCAGTAGTCATGTGATTTTATTCATATACTCTTGAGAGGCCCTTTGGGAAATTTCTTCACATTCTTCACTCCCCCCTCAAATAGGCAGGTCAGGGTGTGGGGTCAGCCAGGGAGCGAGGCATTTGGATAGGGTCAAAATCCAGGTTTTTACCCCAGAGACGTGGGGGTCAGACTGCACCGGGCTTATACATGATCTCATTTACACCACTGTATTGACCTCCACACCTCACACTGACTCTAACTTTAATCCGCCTAGCTAACAGCCTTAAATGAAAGCTACTGAAGTGACACGGTTCTCTTTGGTTGCTAATGCAGTGAAGAAAAATGCACTGTTAATAAAAGTATGTATGGATTTAGTGTTTTGTTTCTGTAGGTGTAAGAACATGTAATGAGAAGGTATTGTCTTTTGGTGTGTTCATGTTCCGAGAGTTTGATTAAAAGCTAGTTTAATCAATAGTCTCTTATCAAAAATGGATCAAATGACAATGTATGCTGTTGTTTAATAGTCCAAGCACTAACCCACATAGAGCAATTAACGTGTCCCTCAGGTTTTCACAAGATTGACATAGCAGTGATATTTTGTTTGGCCGTTTATTGTTGCTGCAATGATTTCAAATTAATCTACACAATGATGAATATGAAGGACAAAACCAACAAGCAACAACAATTATTCTAGTCTAAATTTGGGCCATTCTCCTTTTTTTTTTTTCTTGCAACTTTGCCTTAATTGTACACTTGGCTAATAAGGCTTAGAATTTCATTGATACTCATTCACTCCCACATATTCACTATGGTTTTAGAGTAGTGTTTTACCATACTAAAAGGAAAAAGGCTTGATACTCAATATTCTGATAATATAAAACACAATTTTTTTACACTAACATTTAATTTTCAATTAAAAATAATAGTAGTTTTTTAAAGGCACACGATGTAACTTTTTAGCCAGAAGAAATATACTAAAATAAAATGCACATTCTGACCATCTTTACTGAGAGCATTTTCACAAACCTGACTCTTATTTGGTCTGGAGGAAGGCCCCTTCCTGCTTTTTTTCCATGGAGTATCAAGTATCAATAGTAGTTTTACTATCAGTTAGTATCTAGGTTTCCATGTTTGCATTTGTTTTATTTATTTTGACCACCCTTATTATGGTAAGAATGTGAATGAGTCATTTATTTGTAGTGAAAAATTCTAATAAAATAAAATAACTGCTGACACTTTTAATAGCAAAACATCTTTTATAGCCACAGTGGTTAGAAGCCAGTTACTCTTTGCGAATTTCAAACTTGGAAAAAATGGAAATCATACTAATAACATAATGAAGGGCAGAAGCTCCCCTCTTAAGGTTATTAGATGCATTCAAAATGTAAAACAGGAATAGTGTTTAAATAAGTTCTCAATGTCCTCCGCAGGTAGACACACGTAAGCATACTCTGTGACCTTCAGTCTCACATTTCAACAAACTTTTAATGTTTGTTAATTAAAAATCTCATCATTTTTGCTCTCACTCTGCTAATATTGGCTGCGATAAAGATGCAAATCAGCTCTGGTACTGGTGGCATCACGACCTGTTAAAGTATTACTTTTTTGTTCTGAAAATTGATTTGACTCACCTCATTATATTTAGAGGTCTTGGATATGTTCTTGCTAATGTATGAGTTCAGTAGTGATGTATTTATTAAATGTCTATGCTGGTGCATAGTTTAAGCTTATATTTAATTTTGTAAACTGCCTACAGTACACAAGCATACAGCCCAATGTCTGTCCCAAAAAATCTAAAATAAATCTTGTTCACTATTGTAAATTTTAAATTAATATTGTTTTGGCTCTCTTAGAAAGTGTTCTTATTTAGAGGCAGGAGACATGTAAAAAAAAAAAAAAAAAAAAAAAAAGATGGTATCACAATTCTGGAGATAATGCAAAATGATAATGTTGAGTATATTATCTATTTAATATGGTTAAAAATAACAGCACAATGAGCTGTGTTATTTTCCAAATAGGGGTACAATGTGATATTTCTGCATTTTTGTGGTTGCATTTATGATCCTTTCATATTTTATGCAATATTTGGACCTTAACCAAGTCATTTACAGGCACAGTTTTGTAGATTGGTAAAATATTGTTTGAATGTTATTGAGATAATCAAAAAAAATAAAGATGAGATTTTTGTCAATATCTCCAACCCCAACCCCTAGCTATAAATTATACTACTGTAATTTGATTTAAAGCTGTTAAACCTACGTCAGCAAAAATCATACCTTGGTCGATATGAAATGTCTTATACAGAATGATCCATCACCCAAACCAGTTTCTTTCATTTAACTCCAAGTGCGTATAATATAGCCTGATCAAAAACGACATTTATGTGATTACAATCCACTCTCCAGCTGTGAGTTCACCAATAACAACGCGGCCTGGTCTCACACGGCTGAGTAAAGCCAGTTAACTGTCCAAATCCTATAGGCTAAATAGATTTGGCTATAATGGTATTATTGTCTTACCTTTTCCATTGTGTTTTTCACAGTCCCAGAAGTAATAGATGGGAACACATTGACGGCTACTGTGGTGGATTTGAACGCCTGGGTGGAGTATGAGTTTCGGGTCTTGGCCAAAAACAGTGTGGGCGTTGGCGAGCCCAGTCCAGTGTCTGTGAAAACCAGAACAGAAGATGCAGGTTTGTAAAAGGAAAAGATCTGAAATAGTCTGCACAGGCTGCACCATATTAGAAACATTGTTTTACTGTATTTAGTATTCCAATTTCAATATAAACTAATACTACTAATAATACTATGTTATTGCCTTTGATTTGTTTAATTTGACTAAACAAAAATAGAACTCATGAACATGCATTTAAAAAACTGCAGTGAAGTTTAATTTTAACTCACAGTATATCAAAAAATATGAGATAGGAAAAAATGTACATTTTACTATGTCAAAAGAAGTTGAAGCACAAATGTATGTCTCACTAGACCTTAAAATTTTTTCTTGAATAGATTTTTCACAGTAGTATATTGTTGTAATACTGTATATTGTGTAGGGTAATTTGGCTCAATACACATAATTACATATAGACTAAATTTAGTACATAATAGTATATATTTTCTTGTAGTTCCCGATGCTGCGCCAGGCAACGTGGGCGGAGGAGGCGGGAGTCGATCTGAATTGGTCATCACTTGGGAGGTAAGTGATCAGTCTTAAGTTGCGATTTCAAAATTTATACAACTATTTTCTTGTAAAAAATAAATACATTTAATTGGTTCCCCCATAGAGTATATTGTATTTGTGATCATCAGTCAGACCACTGTGTGTTGTCTGCAAGTAAATGTAAAGTATTTTTTCAATTCCAGAAAAAATGGCCAAATATGTTGCTATGTTTCATTACAGTACTTTGTAGAGCGTTTGATGGTGTGCAGTAACTTTAATAAACACAATGTTTCAAGGTTGTGCACAAGCCTGAAAAAATTTTTCATGTAAACGCTAGTGATATACTAAAGACTTTGTGACAGCTAAGAACAGGCTAGTCATTTGTAACAGCTTAAATACATACATTCACTGTTGAAAATCAAGTACCCCAGCTTTATCACATCCAGCTCCCTTTTCCTTCCTCAGACTTAAATTATTACTTTATTGAAATGTTGCTTTGCATTTGAGGTAATTTCTAACCTAAAGCGACATATACGAGACTCTGTGACAGTTATGGTCATTAATGAGGCTGGGACTCGTGGCAAATTGCTTTCACACAATATAAAACCATTACAAAAACCAAAAGCAGGTTTGCAGCGGAGAAACAATGTTGATATTGAAGAAGTCATTAGTTTGTAGAAGCTATTGCATTATTTCAGTTTTCCTATTTCATTAAGTGCACAAATGATGTTTTATTTTTAAAGGGAATCTATAATGAGCTTAGATTTTTATAAAACTGCTTTTTACTGCTCATTTAGCTCTGTCAGGTGGGTCATAAAAAGCTATTTGAGGGTCACGCTCTTGTCTGTGCTTCCTGAGAGCGCGAACGTGAGCGGTTTGTATATGTTTTAATATCACTATAGTTTTGTGTTTCCCTCCCAGCCCGTCCCAGAAGAACTACAGAACGGTGAGAGCTTCGGTTACATCATCGCATTTCGGGCCTTTGGGGACGCGAGCTGGACCCACGTCGCCACCTCTGCCCCTGGAGCCGCCCGCTATGTTTACAGAAATGACAGCATCTCACCCTTCTCCCCTTTCCATGTCAAAGTGGGCACTTACAACAGCAAAGGACAGGGACCCTTCAGCCCTGTGGTCACCATCTATTCGGCTGAAATTGGTAAGACAAATTCTGCAAAGAAAAAACAGGTCATGACCCCACAACTATGGATGTGCAATTGTGTATTCAGCCAAGCAGCCTATATGTTGTTTTGATGGCTGGTTTTACTCAGTGTCCTTACATGACATGTAAAAATGTTGTCTACAGAAGTAAAATCTATTCTCAAAGGCAGAAAATCACAGAAGGCAATATATTCTAGATATTACAATGTATTTTGCAGCCACTGAACAAAAGGGAAAATGTATAAAAATTCAAAGCCACACTAGTAAGAGAAATGTGTTGCAGCCTTTGTAAAATGGTTGGTGTCCAGTCGAAAAGAAAACATTAAAAAATGCTACTCATTTACATGCAAATAGATGGCTCCAAATATCAGCACTCCATTGAATGACTGTGCCAAAATGAGAAGCGGTTGGCATTTAGATCCATGCTACTTCTCAGCATGCTAAGTGAGGGTCAGCGCGTGGAGCGGGCTCAGTCTGTTTCCCATCTGCACCTGTGGATGATTCATGGAGCAGAGATCAGGACTAACTCCACAGCGCTCCAAATGGAACAGAAATGAAGAGATTTGTTCTGGCTGCTTTTCTGTGTGGGAAAGGTGGCCCAGCTCAGTGTCCTGTTGTGTTTTTCAGAGCCAAGTGGGATGCCAGCGGGGGTTTGGGCCAGAAGTGTCTCGGCCTCCGAGATTGAGGTGAATTGGCAGGCGCTCTTCTTCACCCCTGAAAGGGTTCTGGGCTATGAGGTACATTTGACTCTTTTAAATGGAAATAGAAATCACACAACGCATTTCAAATGCTTGTCATCACCCTGTTGTACCTCACAGCCATCACTTCCAAACTCCAGTCGCCATGGAGATGACTGCTTCAGTTGGAAAACAGTTATAGCAAAAATTATACAGTTCTTTGTAGCAACACGACAGGAAAACATGTCAGGCCGTTTTGGGCAGAACAAAGGGAGATTGCCTGTCCACATGTGTCTTTTCTGCTGCTGTCAGTTATAGCCGCTGTGCTGAGGCCATGAGCTCTGGCTGTATACACTACACCAGGACACGTTTCATAAGCACAAAAGATTTAGCATTTTAAATGTTGGTGCAGTCTAACAAGCAGAACAATGGAAATCAATCAAGCCATTTTCTGTAAATGATTGAATAAATTATCCTTCTTGGTATTCAGGTAGAATGAAATTTCATTTGGCATTTGTCCTGCTTTGTTAAATACAGAAAATGGATAAAAGCTGTTTTAGGAACCAGCTAACGTTAGAAAGTGGCTGTTTGCTATGCAGACCACATCATCAATGTCTGCGGATAGAGGCACTAAAATGTCACTTATTTAAACAAACAATAAAACGACTTCTTCATTTGTTTTTATCCGGATTTTAAACTGTTCCCTGTGGTCTTCACCTGTGGAGCTACACCTCTCTTTTGTGAAAAAGGCAGCCAAACCCGTGTTTACTTCAGCACTACATAAACTATTACCGAAGCTTCTTCTCGCTCCAACAAACAAACATGGTGAACTGTTTAAAGTTTGTACAAACTCCAAGCCCAGCTGTGATCTCCAGTTTCAGAGAAGAGCCTAAACTTTTGTGTAGCCCATAAAAGCTTTTTGTCTCAGATGAAAAAGTAACAGACTCTGATCTGTTTTGTATGGATCTAAACTTCACTTTCACTCTTCGAGTCCGAAAACAAGAAACAAACTTTTTTTAAGCATTGTTTGGGTTGCACTTACTGGGCAACTGTTTATTTTGCATCCATTTTTGTGATCATTTATTTATATGTATATTATTAGATAAGCCTGGTCCTTGTATGTGGGCTAGAGGCAGAAGTCCAAAACTTAGATGCCTTTTCTCAAACCCACATACCACACTTGTGTAGCTTCACTTTGAAAGTCTATGTGTAGGATTTTTATTCTACTGTATATTTGAATGCATGAACTGCGGTAGTTCATTTGAAATGTTTTGCAATGGTCCAAAGCTATTCCTCATTTACCTTATGCATTCTGAGCATTTTAATTACCATGATGAATTTATAAGCACTTTTTAACAATAAAAGAGACCAAAGCTGAGTTTTTCCAAGATGTTAAAGCTAACAACAACTAGCATGCTAACATGCACTTCCTGATTTACTTACAGTAAAACAGGTAATAAGAGCTGCTTATACAATATATCTGTACTAGGGCAGGGCACATTTTTCTCAAATACATGGGAAAACATTTTATTGCAAGTATGCATATTACATTATCCCTCATAATTATCACAATCATTCTTCTGTTTCTGGTATTTGTTGTTATTTCTTATTTCATTCTGTTCTGGAAGTCACTACAGCCAACATAAATAGATGTCTCTTGTTAACATGTTTTAATCTATTTAATTATCACTTTGATAATTATTCATTAGGCTTTTATTGTTTATATTGAGCTTCACCACCATAACTAAATATATGCTGTTAACATGCAGTGGTGAAACATAACAAAGTAAAAGTAGTAAGTATACATTTTAAGTATCTGTACTTTACTTGAGTAAATTTTAAAGTGGATACTTTTTACTTCACTACATTTGAGAAAAGGTATCTGTACTTCCTACTCCACTACATTTTTAACTGGGCTGAAAAGTAAAAGTAATTTTATTACAGTTTGAGACCTGCTGAAGAGGCTCAGCGGTTTATTTTAACACATAAAAAAAAATGCTATAAACAGGTACTTAAATACTTTTTTCATATCTTTTACTTTTACTTGAGCATTTATGCCCTGGTATCTGTACTTTTACTTAAGTAACAAAATCAAGTACTTCTACCACCACTGACATTATGTATACATGGAAATGACAACATCCCTACTAAATCTTAATACAAGAACTACTATTACAGCTAATAATGATACATCTGTACTAGGTGGTGTACTGGGAGGATGACACCAAACCAGAGACCATGGGTAAAGTGCGTGTGCCGTGGAACCAGACGTCGGCCACAGTGAGCGGATTGGCAGGGCACACCCAGTACTTCCTCACTGTGAGCGCATTCAACACCGCAGGCACAGGGCCCTTTCTCCCCGCAATCAATGTCACCACCAAAAAACCACGTAAGTTTTAGAGCCCCCCCCGAGTGTCAGCGCTGTTCAGCTGTTTGATTTTCTACATGTACTGGAGGTATAGCAATAGGAAAAGGCTAAAGTTTGAATAAAAAATATATATGTGGGGGTTAAACTTGGAGTGAACTTTCAGGAAGTGTCAAAAGTGGAGTTTGAGATTAAGTGAACACAAGCGCTCAAGGCTAATGGATTCGTCAATAGTCACACTTTTGATAGACGCCTTTTACCGTGTCACTCTTGGTCAGAAATGTGATACAAAAGAGTTTGTTTTTTGAAGTCCTACAGTAATTTGCTTTTAAAATTTCCCACAGCACTACAACATTTTGCTTGGTGAATTTAGTTGTTTATTACTCATGGACTAGTCAATTCCACTTTGACATTGATAGTGACAATGATCAATTATTTTCCTTGTATGGCCTACTGTTTATATATACACATACTATACATAATGAATTCATGTAACATGCACTTTTGTATAATAACTTCTAATTTTGACAGTAGGATCATAATTAAGATCAAGTGACTACCATGCTAATTTTGTAAAACAATTTCTTGGGTATGGCTTAGAGACCCTGAGGCTGAATTCACAGTATTTCTGTTAAAACTATAATTTCTGAAAATGTGTTAGTTAGAAAAAGGAGGGACAGTTGCTCATTTGGTCGAGTGTTTATCCACTTATCCAAAGGTTGGCAGTTTGAATCCCTCTCTTGGGGTAAAGATCATTGGTAGAGCAATCAGATCCACTGACTTTGGTTAGCAGTGCAATTCCAGGTTCCACAGATGAATGCTGTTGTTGTGTCCTTGGGCAAGACACTTAACCTTCCTCTGTGTGCACTGATGAATTGGTGAGTGGTTCCTTTATGTAAAGCGCTTTGAGTGCCTTGAAGGTGGAAAAACGCTATATAAAAATGTGACCATTTACCAATTCACCGTTATCCAGTTGCTCATTAAAAAGTGAGTACGTGATGAGAACAATGCCAATATTTACATCCTGTATTAAGATTCATCTTAACTTTTACACAATGTACTTTTATATACTAATTTGCATACAAACATGGTAAACTTTAGATTGGCATTAAATGAATTTTGACCAAGCGTTTAAATGCACAAGTATGCAAATTTCTGAACACATTCGTCATCTTAGCATGAGATACAAACCCCAAGGCGGCACACTGTATCGTTTTTTTTTTGTAATTTCCAAGCTCTATAATTGCATAAAAAAATCTTTCATTATTATTTTATTTTATAAGCACCTCAAATAAAAAAAAAACAAAAACACATAATACAGAGTGTGTAGCTGTTCTACTGTCAGCAAGGACGTTTGGGGCTTAATCCTTGGGCTGACTACTAATATTTGTGGGAGTCTTTTGGGATGTGAAAATATTTCTATTGAACATACAGTTTGAGTGAATAGTTGCAGTGTAAGTCTTTTTTTCAGCCCTCTAACTAATTTGCCATTGCTCCAGGGCCCATAGTTGGAATTTGTGTTAGAGAGGAAACAGCACCTTATATGCATACACTTCTTATCTTATCTTATCTTATAAGATAATCTTATTTTATATGTGTATCTTCTTATAAAAATTCATCAAACAAAAGATTGCAAACTCAAACCCAAAAAGTCAGAAGTCAATGAAATTTGGCTGTCAGCTAAGGGATATTATTGCATAATCGGGTGTATTTTAGGAACTTGGGTGTCAATGTTATGTTCCGTTTGTGACATTTTAAATTATTTTCCCCGTCGTGCAGCTCCTGCCCAGCCCCCGCTCAACGTGGAATGGACTTTAATTGGCTCTCACCTGTCTCTCTACTGGGAGCCTGTGGTGGCGATGGAGTCCGAGTCAGAAGTCACGGGCTACGAGGTGAGCTCTCCTCTCTTTTCTCTCACATGAGTTTATTTCCATTACAGTGAGTAAAAACGTATGGCCAGTAATGCTGCAAGCCTTTGGTCACTGGGCAATATTGAAAACATAATCTAAATTTTCAGTTTAATTTAATACTATTAAAAAGAAATAGCTTTTGAGAATACATTTCATGAACATAGATAAGACAGACCTTTCAATTAAACCTCAGCTTTAACAACAATAATGGTTTCCACTCTAGTGCCATTTAACACAAACAAATCCAGTTACTTTCTTCAAAAAGCATACCCTTACTCACAGAGGATTAATTGTAGACCATGTCCATTTTAAATCCCTAAACTGATCATTGACTATTTGAAATGATTAGATCACAATGCGATTAAAATTCTGTTAACTGCACACCTCTGGTTACTCAGTCAATTAATCGGTAGATGCCGTGTTAGCAGATCAATATTTTTTAGATGACTAATTATTTCTTGGGATTATACAGATTTTGGTGGATGGCAACAGATAGAAGAAGGCATGGAGTGAATTATCTTGAGTTTTGGGAGTGATAAATACAGTGTTTAATTTTGTTTTGTAGTACTTTTACACATGTATAGTTGTCATTGTTTCAGCTTTCAACAGTCGACTACTCACAGCACATGGCTTGTCTTAGTATTTCTGAGGAGACCTGTATTTTCACACATCTTTTTTTTGCCTCTCATTCAGCTGTCATACAGGAGGCAGAGGCACAAAGAGGTGAACACACTCACCATAAGTAACTCATCGGCCGAGCTGACTTTACCGGAGGAGGACGAAGACTACATCATCCACATCAGGACCATGAGCAAGGGGGGCCTGGGACCAGCCTCAGACCCCATCAGAGTTCACCAACTCAGTGAGTCCAGTTTATGTGTAAAAATAAACTAAATCTACTGCAAATGGAGGGAAAGTAAAATATTGGCGGGAGAATGCGCTGACACTGGTGGGTTGAGATTCTAAACGAAGAGCTCGCAGACACTAAACTTAGACATACTCGTGTTTTTTATGCCTGTAATTTTTGAGAGAGAGAGTTAAATGATGGTTATTGCTCCTGTCTAACTGCAGCAAGAGTGTAAGTTTGATCTATCAAATTTCCATGAATTAAAAAGTTATGCTTATTTCCTATTATTGACACCATACATAGTCCAAACAATAGTAAAATTAATTCACTCACCCTCAATTCACCTTCATTCAGGGTGTAATTACTATTTATCTAATATGTGGATACTTTATAGTTTAGAAAGTTTGATTTCATAAAGTTGAAGTTAATGTGGCTGAACCATCTGGATAAAAACACTTTTTACTAATATTTTTTATAACCATTATATCAAAACCATTATAGTCTTAATCACAGAGCAGCTAATTAATAGGAAGATCACTATTGTGACATCTGAATGAAGCCTGAACCCAATTGTCAAATATAGTGAATGTGTGTGAAAGTGAGTAGACATTTTTGAGTAAATATCTTAAAATAACTGACCGCTGAAGCTTATATATAGTTTTCCAACTCGCAGAAGAAAATTCAGGCATTCTAATTTTTTATTTGTATAATTAAGTGAAATCAATAAAAAAAAAATTTAATATACTCAACATTTTGACAATAACACAGACACAGTACAAGAGCTTACAGAAATATGTAAATTTGCTCTCTTTACAGGCAAGAATAGCAATGCATTATGGGAACAGTGTGAGCAGTGAAAGAGGCAAACTCCATAATGTGCCTAGTGTCAAGTGCATGGCTTGTGTCCCAGTCAGAGGGGGTGAGAGGGGTTAAAAGTGATTGAAAATAATTAGAGAGGAGCAGTGCTGCTGATTGGTTTGAAGATACAAAATGTTCTCCTATCACAATTATCATGTTTATACGTGCCAAGGGTGTTCTTGGCGGGTTCTGTGTTTGTGAGACTAGGTGCAAGATTCAGAAAACAAGCCATTTGAAAATCTGTGTCAGTCCTGTAGTTCTTCAAAAACAAAAACTAGAAAGCGTCTTTTTTTTTTATGTTAGAACAATGTGCTCAAGCCAACCTCTCTCTCTTTATTCTCTCTCTCTCCCTTGGAATAAAACATGCTGATTTTGCACTATAGAAACTTGACATGTAGCCATAACCTTAGCCGCCGGGATAATCTATTTTATATTATTTACACACTCTTGTAAATGAAGCCACTTATCCCTTTTCAAAGCCAACTGGGGCGGTGTGTCCTCATTGACTCATTATAATCCGTGTCCTTGCTAACCTCCGCTGGCTCAAAATTTGCTGAAATTTGTAGCACAATTCATCTCTGTCTGCAAGCTTGACTCCCCCGTTACTGGATACGATTCTGGCCCGTTGGGACTGAGGCAGTAGGCTCCTCTGCTGCAGCTGGAAAAACCTCATTTGCATTGTTAATTCACTGTGTTAAAATTCACCAACTCCAGTAGTTTTTTTTCCAATGCTTTTTAGGCCAAATGTGTTTTTACGAGCACAACATAAGCCTTCAATCAGGTGTAATTTCTTTTGCATTAATAATATATTTTCATGCCAGGAAAGATTTTACCAGGATATTATCTCATTACAGAGTTGTCAGGGATCCAGAAGAGCTAATTGACTGGCTTAAATCTTACATGAGAAAGTGATGAGAGGAGACTTCCCTTCACTTTAATACATATTTTACAGATAAGTGCAAGTGGAAGCATGTGCTCAGTTGGGTTGTGAGTGCACTGTGCATATACAGGCAATGACTTATGCCAAGAAACCGGTATCACATCCATCAGTCAGTCTTTTTCACTGTCTACGCACCTTAAATGCTCAAACATAATGCATATAATCTCAAATGCTTTCTACAGTGACACAATAGAGTGTTGAAAGTGTACCGCGCAGACATGTTTTCTTTAATGGCTGCCTTTTTTCAGCTCGTGCAGTTAGCATCGATTTTCAGCATTAACAAAAGAAAATGAGAACAGTAGCTTATTTGTTGCAAACAAACCATAAAATATACTGTGAGCCGAAGCTTGGCCACTCCCATTTCTCAACTGCCTGCAATAAGGTGGACTTTTTAGCACTTTAATAATGTATAACAATAAATAGTATCTGCCATGGTAGTAAATTGTCCTCTCCATGTTTATCTCCATGGTAACCTCTAATAAGTCAGAATAAGCAGAATAAATTAATGTAATATCCACATCTTCAGGAAGCTGCAACATGGAAATATATTTTGAGTTATGGAAGATCACTTAGAAATGTAACGTTGATTATAATTGCTCATTATTCTGTTTTTTTATGTAAATAGCAGCTAGATTATGCCACTAATTACTCATATATTGATATTTTTTTAATCTTAGAAAGGGTCTTGTAATGTGCAATCCAATATCATGGTGGTTGCAGATCTTCTCACCCCAAATATATAATTAAACAAGCACAGTAGAATTCACTGCAGTCTAAGGTAAATTCATGTGGTGATGAAAGATGTGCAGAGAGTAAGATTGTCAAAAATGGTTTTATTGAAAGCGTCTTCTTATGAACTCATGGTTTTGCATAATAAAAAAGTAGAAACAAATGTATTGAATCCCTGAGCTGTTATATATGTCCATATAGGAATAAGTATCTGCAGTGAAATACATCTCCTCTGTTTTAAGCGAGGAGATGAGTTTCTCAGATGGGTGTCTAAAAAACTGTGTATGTTTTTACACAAAAACTGTGCACCAACTGCTGCCAAATGTCTTAGTCCTGAAGCGCAGCTTGCATCACTTTCACCTTGTTCTTTCTTTCCTTTCTTTCTTTTGTATTTACAGGTATGAGTGCGCGTGGCTCCGGTGGGTGTATCCTGGAAATCTCTCCCCTCTCTCTGCTCCTCACCATTGCGATATCAACAGTCAGGTCAACGTCATGACACTGCAAGAGACTTTACCTTTCACAGATTTTCAGTATTTTTCTTTTCTAAGTTTTCCAAAGTGGACTATTCTACTTTTGAGTTCCGGTTTTTGCAGTGTTAGTTGTTGTATACGGTATGAGAGGCAGCACAACGGCACACTTTGCTGTCAGATTTCAGATTTTGCTTATTTTAAATTTCTTGTTTTATTGCCAGGCGGGAATACAATGGCCCATTTTGACTCTAGAAAGTTACAGATGCCTTACTTCCATTCATGTGCCAAAGTAGTCTCAGCCTTCTGGTTGTTCTTGCTAAAATAGCCACACGAATCCTTAAAATCTTCTCTCCCTATTAGCTGTTCTTTGCTTTGTATTTTGATATAGTACCAGTTTTCTTCAGTGCTCATTCGGCTGTGCCTTTGGACAGATCCACAGAAACATAGTGCAGCCGTCCGGTCTTTATGTGCGGCGCTAAAAGCTGCTCGTGTCCCCGATGAAAGTCATAAAACAGCCCACAGCGCAGTGTCGGACATTTACCTCCTGATCATTTTGTGCTGAAGAGCTAAATGCACCTCTAGGGCTGCTTAAACTTTAAAGCATTTTGTAGTGGGGACCAATGATGAGTTTAAATCTTGCTCCAAAATGCTAAAATATTGCAGATTCTAATCAAATTTATTGGATGACAAAATTCATTTCATTTTGTCTGACATTGGTCTCTGATGCAAGAGAAATGTTTTGCTTTTGTAAGTCTTCAACAGGTGCGCTATGAATAACATCCAAAAGGTGCATGAAATCCATTTTGTCCAAACGATGTGTGCAAGGCCACTTGCCAAAATACTTTAGTTTCTCCTCAATGCTTTTCGGAACTCCACTGTCATAAAATATCTGAGTAATATCAGGGCTAGCTCAAGGTCCCCCCATGGCCATTTTGTGCAACTTTCCAATGCAGAGCTATGTTTAGTTTCGTATATAGCAGGTACAGAATCAGCCTTTACATTAAAATGAGACGTCTTCAGATCCTATGAGACATGTAGCTAGTCTTGTCTGTACTGAACTGTCTCTTTTTGAGCAGATGTCATAACGCTTTTCATTTGGCTGACAGAAAACTAACACAGGTGTCATCATTTTAACTACAGTATATGTATGTGAAAGCTTTTAGAACATTATACCTGTAATTGGTGGATAGAAAATAACATAATTGCAGCCCTGTCTCAAACATAGACAGGTAATAAATGGACATAAATTGTCTACTAAAAATAACAAAAACGGGTGAATAAGGTAAACACTCAGATACACATTGAAAACCTGAGAGCAGAATGAAGTGTGCTGTAGCGTGGCAGAGGTTTATAATCGTGGAAAAACAGATTTATTTACAAATACAGTGAAACTAAAAACAACAGCATGATATATTGTACAGAAGCTACTACAACTTCCATTACTATAAGACATCTAGTACAGTGAGAGTACAGAAAAACATCTAATGAAAACAAATGCTGTATTTTACTGTAAAGAATAGATAGGAGTGCACTGTTTTAATGGCAAGCAAAGAAAAAAATCCCCAAATATTCATACTAGAGATATAGCCAATACAAAAACAAATCATTACTTTTATAACAGCTGTGCTCAGAATGCTGAAATATGACAGAAATTTACCAACAACCAGAGATATACCTGAAGATGCAGTATGTAATGTTCTTGTTAGAGGGTTGACCACGTGCTTGTCCCCATGGAGATGTTATTGATTTGCCTGGAATGTTCCACAGTGTGGCATTAATCCTATATTTCTATCTAGCTATATGTCATGTAAATGTAATGCTCAGAAATACCTTGATAACATGCATTCTTACTGTAAGTGGGCTCGCCTCTCCACAGAGCAGACCCTTAAGCTTGGCCTGTTGACATCACTTGCAAAACAATAAAATTTCCATGTAGACAAACAGGTGGTGTACCCTGCACCAGCAATGTTACTTCAACCAAAGTCATATTTTAACATTTAACAAAAATATTTACTTCAATTTGAAAAAACAAAATTGTAACATGCGCCTCTTTGGGTGTTATCCATCACAACTGTACAAGCTCCATTTTGGATTTGATGACCCTGGTAAAGCGTGAAAGTTGTGTTTACTCATTTGTCACGTTTAAAGATAATACTATTGTTTCATGGACAAATGGATGTAATAGTTTCGCTGCAGTGCTTTGTATATCCATCTGGGCAGCTTGCAGAAATTCAACCATCTCTATTGTCGTCTCCGAGACTCACTGAGGGTTTAAATAGTGCTGCCAACTGTGCCAGGCTGGTAAAGGAAAGTACCCACCAGCTTGGACATTATCTGGCAACATGTCCACTCATCTGTGTGTGAATACTTAATGAAGCTGTTCTTTGTTGTTGTTTTATTTGCTATGCTATACATACAATGGGCTGCACACTATTAGATAAACAGTTACAGTATCTGAAAACTGTGTTGTGATGGTGATAAGGATTGGCAATACTTAGCCAGAATTAAAGGATTCAGAGCAGTTCTAAATCAGGACAAAACTGTGGAAAAACTAGTACTTGAATAGGAATAAAGTTTAGTAATAGCCTTTTTTAACTGTTGACAGAAAATTCAGTACAGTTATATAGTGAGTGTAGATCTTTACTAGGTTTAAAGTTTTGTTTTTGAAACATTTTACCTCTATGAATTCAGCATATTTTGAAGATAGTTGTCATTGTCACAGAAAAAAGTTATTGACCAATAAGAAAAACGAATGTTCTCTGGAGATATGCTGCAACGTAAAACAAAAAATAATAATGAAAAAATTTGTAAAATATAAGGCAAGAAAAGGCATGCAAAAATAAGCTTTTAGATATAAATTACTTCCATCGTGCACAATTCACAAAAAGACTTAATGACTTGTAAAATGTCCTAATATTATTACTGATGAATACTTTTTGAAGTCTTTGTTACTATGAAATGGAAAACTGAGAAATTTAAATAAATGTTCACCAGGTCTAAATCAGGCTAATTTACAGTTTTAATTAATGTAAAAGCCTAACCTTTTAGCAACATCACAATACTAATTCATATACTGTATGTTATTGTGCAACCCAGATATTGTATGTGGCCTTTTTTTTCTAGATTTGCAAACTTTTCACTGCTCAGGTTGGCAGTCCCACTGTACCACACAGAGCTCTATTTACCAGTTGGACTTGACCCTGGGCGAATTCGATGCTCTGATTTAGCGAACATTAAAGCATCTTAAATTAGAGCTAGCCTGGAGGGTGTCCATAGAAAAGGGCATTGGATTGATAGTAGATAGATATACCAGGATTTAGGGCAATCCCGTTCACAGAGCAATGGGACATTTCAAGGATTTGTGTGTTTGCGTTTAGAGTCATTATTACTGTCTCTTCGGCAAGGCCAGTTTTTAAGTTTAGAAAAAGGAATGTAGTTCTTAAACCATTTGTACTTCACTGCGGTTCAGGGCTTCGGGCAGCTAGGAAGCACTCAAAAACTTGAGATAAAAAAAAAAAAAAAACTTGCTCAGAAAGAGAGGTTGAAATGTCGATGCACCACAGATTGCAAAGAATCTAATTAAAAAATACTCGGGAGGCCAGTCAGCACCTTGCAAGATTAACTTTGTATTCAATGTGAAGTTTTTCCAAGCATCCTCTTTTAATTAGGTGTCCCAAACGCTGGCTTTGAATCCTTGTCGTTTTGTGGCTTAACTTGTCTTATGTTTGTCTCAAAATGTCTCCAATGTTTACACTGATAAATGCATCTTCTGGACAGACTTCTTGATATAAGTTTATCAATGGTACAAAGTAGATGCAACACTTTTGTTCAGTAATGTATTGTAAAGCTGTTTTGCTTTTTTAAATGAAATTGTTCCTAATTGTTTTTACATTTTGCATAAAGGTCAAGTGTTGCTTTCAAATGTTGAATTTACAAGTCAGTATTGGCTCATTGAAAAGCCAGGCGCTCTCTCCCCTTTGTGCACAGGATCCATGCATACTGTATGTGCACTGTTGTGATTTGAGGCAGCACCACCGACAGTGAGGCCAAATCAATGTGTCCTACTTTTCAATTGTTATTCGCACTCAAACACAATCTGGAAGAAATCAACATGCAGCCAGGACTCAACAGCTGCTATCTCTCCACACGGCCTTCTGGTGCAGCGACACACTCTACCTGTTACAAGGTAGTAGTCGTATTTTTGTCCTTTTTATAAGCCTTTCCAATGTTCTTGCTGTTTTCCAGATTTGATCAAAATAGTGTAAGGGTTACCCAAAAGATGATATCAGCACCATCGGATTTTGCTGTGCTGTAGACCTTCCATGAACACTTTATATTGGTGGAGAATCATGACAAAGGTGTGTGCACCGGTTGTGGCAGGTGATTACAAGGCGCAACCTGAGGAGATCAGGCGTTTTGAAGATGCTATGGCCACAAGTGAAAGCAGTGAAGAGACAAAGTTTGATCACTATAGTTATTATATGGCAGTGTTCTCTCTTATCCATTATCTTAGGTCAACACCGATACTGTTGCAGGTTTAATAACAATGCTAGGACAACAGCTATTTTCAGATTCTTTAGAACTATGATTTTAAATGACAAAAACTGTAAATCAGCACGTAAATCAGCCAGGTCCTCTTAGCTTTGAGCTTGTACACATTTAGCCCAACAAACGTCCAAGTGGAAATTGGAAAGTCTGCAGCATGGGGAATCAGATGGTCATCTAAAATCAGACATGTGGGTGACAACACTTGACCTTTCTGTTGTAACAGTATTTTTGACCTGACCGTGATCTCTGTGAGATCGAGGAAACATTTTCACATTGAAAAGTGTCATCAGCTGATCTTGAGCCGTTGGAGCCGTGCATGTATGATATTGTTTTGTGCATTTGTGTTTTCTAAACGAACAACTTAATAAAAACAACTCACTGAGGGGTGCTTCCTCTCCTGGAGTCTTTCTGAATTATGCTTTGCACCTTGTCATTTTCAGCTTCAGCAGACTTTACTGTCTTTTACTGCCTGAAAGAATGAGTGGCGCCTCGGGGCACCATCAAAGCTATAAAATGCATAACATTATGAATAAGCATATAAATGAGAGTAAATGGCAGAAATAATATCCTTTACAGTGGTTAAAAAATACATCTAGCAAATTTGAGAGTTTTATTACAGATTAAAGGTTTATTCAAATGCAGTGGGTTTTGACACCAAGTTGGCAGTGACGCAAAGACATACTCAATACAAACAATGATTATCGCCACTGAACCTGTTTTATTAGGTTATTATGGGACGCTGCTGAAGTTGAGACAGTTCCTACTAAAAACAGCAGAATGACATGGAAAGCTACTGTGAAATATTGATCGAGGCAGTGTTGCAGAGATGCTTTTAAGATAATAAGAGGGAGAGGACCCTGCGAAGAGATCAATAGCAGAGGGAAGTGAAGAAAAGCTGGGTTTCTCTTTGCACACCACAGATCATCCATAATGAGTTGGTGTGTCAGTACTCTAAAGGCAAAGGCTACTCACTGCTTAACCACCTTATGGGCTATTGTAAAGATTGAGCAGTATATATAGGTTAGAATATATATTTCAGTTTATCTCATATTATTGCAGTAATATCTAAATCAAACCCGGTATTGGAAATCTTAAGACAGTTGTAGTTTATTCAGTTTTCAATTTCCAGTAGATTATTTTTCACCTGTGAAGAAGCTGCATTCAACAATACTTTGTAAAAATCAACACTGCCCCCTAATGTCAGCACTTGGAAAATGCATCAGTGGTTTTGGTAAAGGAGTCGATAAACAGGGAAAGATAGAGCTGTGTCTGCAGTCTCCAAGCATTCAGTGGGTGCAGTGACAAATGCAGTTTGGTCATTTAATCGAAAGCCACAAGACTGTTTGATGAATAAACATTGCTGAGTTCATGACATGTTACAAGTTGTCACCTGCTCAAAGGCTGAGCAGATTAAGATGAATTATGCATGACAGTTGAAAGTATGCATTTACTTAATCCTCTTTGACAATCAGGAAACTAACTGCCAATAAAAACATTAGGTCTATATACTAGGACAGGTTATCTACCAGTTTTTGCTTTAATCCCATACAATCTTGATTTTTCTAATGCAATTTCAGTCTCACATTTTCTTATGTCTTACCCATGTATTATTTGGATTTTGTGTTATTTTATTTTAATAAGACTATTGAAATATTCATGGTATTAGGACAATTTGCCCCCAAATATCTGACAAATAATATAATTTGGATGGTATGAGTACTCTTTCAATTAAGTATGTAATTGTCAAACTGATAAGAACCACTTTCTCTCTCTATGGGGAATCTGTAGTGTTGCAAGACAAAGTTCAAGAACAGCAGGAGAATGGAAATATGTATATATGTAATATATCGAAACTGAAAATGAGTCGCTATTAACTACAGTACTATAAATACTTTGAATAGAGTTAAGATAAAAAAAAAAAAACTGCTTGCAAGTAGAGTAAAAATTCAAAGCTTCAAAACTGTGGCCATGGTTTTTATACAATACTCCATATGAACAGAATAAATAGCAAGCAATATGAATTCAGTGCATTGTACCGGTGGTGATTCACATAATTATACAGTACTGCACATGATGAATTACTTTAGATTACTACAGCATGAAACACAGTAAGGCTCTTGTTGTGTTGCTGTTCCCCTCCCCGCAGCACGGTGACGCACTTGTCGCATTCTCTACAAAGTCTACGTAGAGACAGTCTCGCCTGCTTCCGGTGCTTCACATGTACACATCAGGCGCATTACACACACTATTTTCAAGCTTATGATGGATTCTTCTAAAAATAAAGATGCCTCCAATTCTGGGGGGCAAGACAGCAGTTCGGACACAACAGAGGATGACAAACCCGAGCTGTGTCCCGGATTTAAAGACGCGGATGCGTTTGTTAAAGTAAGTTTGGACCTTGCATGCTAGCAACTAAATCGGCCAACGTGGGTTACCCCCTCCTCCTTATGCCACTCAGAATCAGTTCATATTTATTATTTACTTAATATCTTTGTCGGTTGCAGCAATTATGACAATGCATATGTTTATTATCATTAATGTATAGAGGCCTGTGTTATCTCTATACTGATGATGATATTTGCTTGTCATGACTATCTACTCTACAACAATACAGCAAAACAAGCACAGGGTTGTTTGCCGTAGTATTATTCCAGCGTTGGTACTTTGTTGGTACCAACTCAAATAATCTTGTATTCATATTGTATCGATTTAAACTAAAGTACACCTTGTGATTTGTTTATTTGTGTTGTCTTTATTTGTATATGTTTATTTACAGATTTTTAAGTCAATGGTAAATGTTTGTTTTCTTTTTTGGCATTTCGTCATTGTTGTCCCTGTTCAGTGCTCAAAAGAAAGCACTTCACTTGCTGTATCAACAACATCATTTTGCAAATTCCTAGTCTTCATATTTGATCTTACATCTGTCTGTTCTGCAGTATGGACTGGGGGCCGTGTTGTCAGCCACCAAAGCCTCTGCTGGCCTGCCTCAAGCCGGAGATGAGTTTGATTTCTATCGGAGCTTTCCTGGATTTCAAGAGTTCTGTGAAAGTCAAGGAGATAAGCTTCTGATTTGGTGAGATTATACTTCACACATATAGGGATTTCTTTTAAAGGCATAAAGAGGATGTCTTATCATTGTTTAAACATCTGCAGCAGCACCGTATAGGTACAAGCTGGATATGATGTATGCAGTAGGAGTAGTCACAAATTATGCAGAGCGTGGTCTGATATACGAATATTTGACAGGACAATTCCATGAGTGCAGAAACTAATCTGCTTGTTTTTTTAATGTTAGGGTGTGATGCTGTACAATTTCTGATCAAGCATAATCTAAAAAAATAACTTTTCTGGAAATTGTTTGATTTTTTTTTTACGTAAAAGGCTTATTTAGTTTTGGAACTAGCTTTAGACTGATAAGAACCTGGGTATAATTTTTTTCAACAATCTTACACATTATCACAGATTCAGATGTGCCATGTGCTGAGAATGGCTTTGATACCATCACTAATTTAGTTTTATGTTTTGTAGTTTGGTGAAAAACATGTAATTATATCTTTTTGTGTAAACTTTAGCATAATGTGATTTAAATCTAGTAAATCATCTCATTCACATCACACCGGTCTTTTGTGAGTAGACAAGTACTTAATGGCTAAATAATTGTTAGTTGGTTAGTAATTAGGTGTATTAAGAGTATCCATTTGTAGTAGAGTATGATACACAATATAACTATTCAATTAATTTTTTTTTTTAAGCATGAGCCAGATTATGCAACATCACGGCTGCAGATCGCACTTGAGGGACCGCAGTAAGCTGACTGGGCTAGAGGAGAGGTTTGATCTGGTTGTGGATTCAAATGATGTCATCCTCGAACGAGTGGTATGAGCGGTATGCTTTTGTCAATAAACCATGTAGGAGGAGACGAGAGGGAAAACTGCTGTATTTGATTTCAGGGCATGCTCCTTGATGAAGCTGATGGGGTGAACAGAAGCCAGCAGCCTGTCATGCCCGCAGGATTTCAGCCTCCTAAGATTGTGGTCTCTAGTTGGAATCGCAAGGTTGGCTAATTAACCTCTTAGCTCTGATACAGCAGA